GGCGTATCGCTGCAGAATGCTGTGGTAGCCATGCTGGTTAAGTGTGCCTTGAATTCTAAATAAATCACAGACAGTGTCACCGGCAAAGCACCCCCACACCATCACCCCTCCTCCTCCATGCTTCATGGTGGGAACCACACATGCAGAGATCATCTGTTCACCTAGTCTGTGTCTCAGAAATACACGGCGGTTGGAACCAAAAAGCTCACATTTGGACTCATCAGACCAAAGGACAGATTTTCACCGGTCTAATGTCCACTGCCTGTGTTTCTTGTCCTAAGTAAGTTGTTATGATGAGATTTCTGGTATCGAGGAGCTCAGGATGCAAGAGAATAGTTAAACACTTAGATGGAGAGTTGGTTCAGAGTTATTTAATATTACAGTACTGGATTCACACGACAAGCGGTACGGGCGTAGCCTGTTGTCATCTGAATGACTTAAATAGAAAACCTCTCAGTTTATATAATGCTTTCCGAGCTAATTCCATCCAACAGTTGCCAACCATTATTGAGTGTCACTCCTCACCTACAATAGCATTACCCTATATGGTATCGTGTTGCACCCTAGTCAGTATATTCCTGTGGTATCTGAACAAATTATGACTTTGCTAATGGTTGCAAATGGTCTTAGAGGATGTTGACTCAGCTTAAGGGAGCATCTGGAGAGTAGTTCTATAGGGGCACCCTAAAGCAGAGGAGGTCTGTTAGGTGGAGTCCTGGGATTGGTCTGTAGGGGAAAACACCCATATCAGGTTACATAGGATATATACTATGGTTTGGGACAAAGGACGGGGAGAATAACATATTAGAGATTGGAGCCGGTTATTCTCCAGATATCTGCAGATATCTGTAAATTTACGCTGGAATCCTTTGATATAATAAACCTTTATAATCAAAGTACAGTGTCAGCGGATTTCCTTGTTCTCACAGCATAATTAGCATCGTTTTCTCGACACTACAATAATGTCGACGAGGATGCCCACTCTGGGAAACTACATTCCATCATGTACTCCTCCTAAGATTAGCATCAGTGGCCCACAAGCTGTCTTGGCACGCAGACCTTCTGGCACCCACCAGTGACAGAAATACTACATGGAATGTCCTCATCCTCCCAATCCCATGCATCTCATAAGATCAAAGACATTAACAAATACTGTATAAAAAGACGTCATATTAGTTAGTCTCTTCTTATTATTGGTATCGTTTAGTAGTGGTTTCTTTGCAGCAATTTGACCATGAAGGCCTGATTCACGCGGTCTCCTCTGAACAGTTGATGTTGAGATGTGTGTGTTACTTGAACTCTGTGAAGCATTTATTTGGGCTGCAATTTCTGAGGTTGGTAACTGTAATGAACGTATCCTCTGCAGCAGAGGTAACTCTGGGTCTTCCATTATTGTGGCGGTCCTCATGAGAGCCAGTTGCATCATAGCACTTGATGGTTTTTGTGACTGCACTTGAAGAAAATGTCAAAGTTCTTGAAATTTTCCGGATTGACTGACCTTCATGTCTTGAAGTAATGACGGACTGTCATTTCTCTTTGCTTATTTGAGCTGTTTTTGCCATAATATGGACTTGGTCTTTTACCAAATAGAGCTATATTCTGTATACCCCCCATACCTTGTCACAACACAACTGATTGGCTCAAATGCATTAAGAAGGAAATAAATCCCCCAAATTAACTTTTAAGAAGGCACACCTGTTAATTGAATGCATTCCAGGTGATTACCAACAGTGTTTTAATTTCTTATGTCAATGCACATCACTGCAATTAAAGTTTTATTTGATGTATATTATTCACACTCATTTACATTTTAGTATTAAACTTTTATCTACTTTCTCAAAACATAAGATGAATCTGTAAAACAAATTATGAGACATTATTTGATTACAACACTGAAAAAGACGTTGGTGAAGAACCATTTTTAAGAGTCCACAGGAGGGCGCACCAGGCTACGCAAGTTTTTAAAAAATAACCGGAAGGCTAGCCAACATGTCAACTATCCAGTAAACACTTCGGAGACGAGGTTGGTGCCTCTTTTTTGAACAAAATGTCTTGCAATTGAACAAAAATAGCAAGGTGGCCAATAACTGGGGTCCGTATGCCGATAATACGGGACATATTTTTTAGCTAAACCGCTTATCAAAAAGCTGATAATAGTAGTATTTCCACTGAAATGTCAAACATGCTAATTGCTAACCCGTTAGCTAAAATGTTTACGACACCCATATAACAAATCATTGATGGCTTGATCACAGGATAACACTGTTGAAGGTAATATATTTCTTAAATTCTGTTAAATATGCCAATAATACGGGGTTCCACACTAGCAGATATAAGAAAGCTCAAGAAATATTTTAGTTTTTTTGGACACTTATTTAAAACCCCTTATTTTTGTTGGCACAAAACTACCTCCATACTTTGACTCCTTTGTATGGGTTACCTTCAGACGAGTCCTGTGACACTTGTGGGGGTCATAGAGCAAAATGAAGAACACCATTGTGTTTGTGAGAGTAATAGTTTTGTAGGCCAAACCCTTCGGACGCTACAGACGTGTTCGTGAGAAGACCGATTTTCGGTATGTCTCATGTTCTGACAAACACTGCTTTAGCTCAGCCTGATATCTGTAGTTTAAACTGATGGATTTTGATGGCGATTTTTTCATTATGTTACTCAGATTGACGCACGGATGCGTCAATAGACTCTTAAGGATTTTAAAGTAGTCAAAATTGTTGTATTTGGTACCATTTTACTACCACGCAATGATTACATCAAGCTTGTGACTCTACAAACTTGTTGGATGCATTTGCTGTTTGTTTTGGTTGTGTTTCAGATTATTTTGTGCCCCAATAGAAATGAATGGTAAATAATGTATTGTGTCATTTATCATTATTCACGATTCATTCAGACCTATCCGTAATCATGTTATGTCATTTGATACACATTACCATTCAAAAGTTTGGGGTCACTTAGAAATGTCCTTGTTTTTGAAAGAAAAGCAATTTTTTTGTCCATTAAAATAACATCAAATTGATCAGAATTACAGTGTAGACATTGTTAATGTTGTAAATGGCTATTGTAGCTGGAAACGGCAGATTTTTAATAGAATATCTACATAGGCGTACAGAGGCCCATTATCAGCAACCATCAGTCCTGTGTTCCAATGGCACGTTGTGTTTGCTAATCCAAGTTTATCATTTTAAAAGGCTAAATGATCATTAGAAAACCCTTTTGCAATTATGTTACCACAGCTGAAAACTGTTGGTTCGATTACAGGCTCAAAATGGCCAGATAACTTTCTTCTGAAACTCGTCAGTCTATTCTTGTTCTGAGAAATTAAGGCTATTCTATGTGAGAAATTGCCAAGAAACTGAAGATCTTGTACAACGCTGTGTACTACTCCCTTCACAGAACAGTGCAAACTGGCTCTAACCAGAATAGAAAGAGGAGTGGGAGGCCCCGGTACACAACTGAGCAAGATGACAAATACATTAGTGTCTAGTTTGAGAAACAGACGCCTCACAGGTCCTCAACTGGCAGCTTCATTAAATAGTACCCGCAAAACACCAGTCTCAACGTCAACAGTGAAGAGGCGACTCCGGGATGCTGACCTTCTAGGCATCATTATATCTATTTGGCAAGCATGTGAATGGTTTGTGTCTGGACATCTGGCTGGCAAGCATGTTAATGGTTTGTGTCTGGAGTGTATGGTCAATGAAACATTGGAGCATGTGTTGTTATACTGTATTGTTGTAAGTATGTTGAAGAGAGGGATATTGAAGTGTAGGGTAATTGAGGTTGGATGGGGTTGGGAGGCTTTGGAAGGGATTTCGGGGATGGGGGAGGGTCTATTAGAAGTTAGTAGGGCTCTTTTTTGTTTTCTCAGAAGTACAGAGTTAGGTAGGAGGATTTAGAAATTTGGAGCTGATGTTGTAAACCGTGATTGACCACACACCAGCAAAGTAGGTGGCAGCATACACATTTAATGTTTGAAGGCAATGTTTCCGCGTTCTCTGAGACTGCATTTGTCGGCTTAATCATAAATTACCTTTAAATTTCAAGCACTCTATAGCGCTGAACTTCGACGATACGGATTGAATCCAGCCCTAAATCTCATTTTCTTTAAAAACATGTACAACTCCTCTGTTGTATGACCAAAAGTGAAACGACAACCAGAGGTCAGTTTCCATATTTGTAAATATATATTTCATATAAATGACAATAGCTTACCATAAAAAATCCCATGTAATAATCAACATACTGTGTGTATAACATACCCATGGCTAATGTCACAATGCCATACTACGCCACCCCAGGTTGAGTTCTGCCCATCACATATTATACACAGGTTCTTCATGTTTGGGTTGAGTTGCAAAATAAAGAAGTCAACAACATGTTGCAATTTAACACATTTATTTTTTAAACTGAATTAATGAGATTTTCTCAGCCTGGTCAAAAAGGAGGTCATAAGAGTACATAATTAATAAAACAAACTAAACAACCAAAAATACAGGTTCTGGTGTAGTCGAGGGAATATCTAACATAATATTAATTCAACTTCAATACAAGATAAATCAACAACATTTTCTCAAACTTTGTCAGATAGTTACAAACTAAACCAGCCACATGGCCACTTCCCTCTTACTGTGAAATGTATTTCCCCCTTTCTAATTTTCTCTACTTTTGCATATTTTTGATACTGAATGTTATCAGATCTTCAACCAAAACCTAATATTAGATCAAGTGTGAACTGAGTGAGCAGATCTGCATGCAAGATTGGGCCAAAATTCTTCCACTGCGATGTGAAAGACTGATCAATAACAAAGGTAGCATTTGGTTGCAGTCATTGCAGCTAAAGGTGGCACAACCAGTTATTGAGTGTAAGGGGGCAATTACATTTTCACACAGGGGAATTGGGTGTTGCATAACTTAATTAAATAAATAAAATAAGTATCAATTTTTGTTGTTATTTGTAAACTCAGGTTCCCTTTATCTAATATTAGGTTTTGGTTGAAGATCTGATAACAAAAAATTGAGAAAATCAGAAAGGGGCAAATACTTTTTTACGGCAGTGTACCTGCACCTTCCCCCCAGGTGGCCGCATCTCAAACAAACAAAGAGACAGCATTTAAAGAAACAGTCAGCCAATGAAATGACAGTATCAATCATTCAATTATCAAGGCAGAAGCATGCACAAGCAATGGAAGCTCATCGTCACACCTGAGACACATACAGTACAGTACAGTCCAATGCATATACATATATTACCATAACTACTTATTAATTGCATACTTTACATATCTTAACTTGCGTTCCAATGCTGCTTAGTTTATTCAACATTATGAAAGGATATGTTCAGGCTTCAGGTTTGGCAACAGTGGAGTAGATAACAGAATGGTCCACCTCTAAACTTTCTTCTGGCCTGCAAAAAGCAAATAGAGTTGTTGTATGAGTATATTCAAATATTTCAAATGAACAGACTTCCAGAAATACTAGTGAATAGCTGAGACATAGCCTGCTTCACATGGAAAAAAGCCTGTGTGGGGTCGCCGGAAATCGCTAACATCCGGTTTTCAGGGATACAGTATCTTCAACCTAGCTTCCGTTTACCCCTGAAAAACGGATTTGGGAACTCTGCTCAGGCTTCTTTTATGCATGCTACGTTAGGTTACATGGAAAAGGACTGAACTGATAGTGAGTGCACTATTACCTGGCAGTAGGACTGGAGAGCGGGAACTTGATGCTGGCATACTGGAGGTTGTCTGTCACGTTGGCCTGTCTGGATTTCACCGTGGAGTACACAACATCATCCCGTCCATGGGGTCCAGAGAGTTGGACCCCGTCGATGGAGTTGTGGGACTGCTGGAAGTCAAAGGAAGCGTAATGAAGGTCTGGAGGGTTCAGCGGAGGTGGTGGCTGGACCACAGAGTACAGAGAACTGTCTTGGTGGTGGGTGTGAGAGGGAGGGAGTTGAACGTTGGCATAGAGGGCATTTTCCTGTTCCTCCGTTCTAGTTTCCTGTGTGGCTGGGTCATTTCTGGTCCTTCTACTGGATAAGACTGGGTTTTGATCATCCTGAAATATGGAATCAGTCAAAAACAATACAAAATGTTTGCTATATTTACTACTCACCTTACCTTCATCCATTGGTTAAACTAAATAGCATGTTACTGTGGAAGAATGGAAGCTTACGCTTGAAATATCATGAACACTTAATGCGTTCAAACCTTCAGATAACACTATTGCATTGACATGCTATTGGCATTGTTAATTAGAGTGTATATGCTGTGTTCTACTGACCTTTCTGTCCACAGCAGTCTTTTGACATAATTTGAACTGGCTCTTACTGTCAAAGAAAACAAACTTATTTGGGGGGACAAATCGGTACTACAAGGCCATCATACTCTGCATTGTGATATTGAACTGAGTACACAATGTTTCTAGACTTACCACATCCATAGAGGTATGATCACCATGAAAACTGCAGCCACGGAACCAATGTAAACTGGCATTAGGACAGTATTTTTAGCTGAAAATGACACAGGGTACAAGAACAAAATACATTCAAGCGAAGGGAATTCCCATTTAGAACATATTGATTCAGGACAACAGGACATTTCCCTCCACACTCACCATGATTGGCACCCTGTATGGTCAGATACATCACAGTAGAGTTCTGAACCCCTTCTTCATTCCTGGCCTCACAGAAGTACTGTCCACTGTCAGAGGAGGTTAGAGAGGTCAATCTCAATAGTTCTCCTGACCCTATCTGTGAGGTGTATGCTCCATCCTTCTTAAACCAGGTGTAGTATTCTACTGTTGGGTTGGCATCAGTGCTGCAGGTGAGATTCACAGAGCTGCCTTCTACCACTGGACCATAGGAACTGATCAACACTGAAGTGTTCTTTGGGGCATCTAAAGCAAGCAGAAATATTAAAAAGGTGATAACTGCTCCATATTTAGTAATGATTAATCAAAACAGTCCTGGCCAACAAGGTTTGTGTCAATGTAATCTATATTTCAGTCAGTGCAAGGATTGCATTGCATTCTTATGGAGAAATTCAATGTCCAAGTCAACGGATAGGAATTTAATTGAGATTGACCCAAACTCTGTTGACCAGTTATGATTACGCTGTAGTGGAAAACCATAATGTGATTCTGCCATGGCACCAGAGTGACAAGACTCTGTCCACTCTCCTTATACAGGGTGTAGCTCATCACAGGGGAGTTTGCACTGCAGTTGCAGGTGAGATTGACTGAGATACCCTTAACAACATCTCCACATGGACTGACTGACAATGTGACATTCTTTGGAGCATCTGCAGGAGAGGGAGTAAGGTTACAAGTGTTTATCTGATGTCGAGCATATCTCTGATTAGAAATGTCACAAGATGGATTGGTAGATAAGTGGATAACTGGGTGGCGGGGCTGGTGTGATCAGATGCTCCTGCAGCGAGTTAGCTAATCAGACAGGTAGCTGGGGACTGGCTGTCATTTCCTTTAAAAGCCCAGTGTTTTGTGTTGTTTGGCCGCTGGGAGTTGAGCGGAGAATGTCTCTCAGTGGGGATCGGGCCCCTATGCAAGTTTCCATGTCTTGGGTGTTTAATGTATTGTATTTATTATGGATCCCCATTAGCTGATGCCTGAGGTCTGGCAAAATGAAGGCAGTTATACAATTTTAATAACATTACAGTACATTGACATGCATATTATTAATGTTTGCTCTATGGGTACATCCAAGGGCCAGCCGTGCTGCCCTGTTCAGAGCCAATTGCAATTTCCCTAAATCCCTCTTTGTGGAACAATAGTCCAGGTGCGACAAAACTAGAGCCTTCCTTGTTGATAGTGCTGTTAAGAAAGTAGAGCAGCGCTTTATTATGGACAGACTTCACCCCATCTTAGGACTGTTGTACCAATATGTTTTGACCATGACAGTTTACAATCCAGGGTTACTCCAAGCAGTTTAGTCACCTAAACTTGCTAAATTTCCACATTATTTTATTACAAGATTTAGTTGAGGTTTAGAGTTTAGTGAATGATTTGTCCCAAATACATTGCTTTTATTTTTTGAAATATTTAGGACTAAAGATTGAAAATAGTAAGGGGCCTAGACAGCTGCCTTGGAGAATTCCTGATTCCACCTGGATTATGTTGGAGAGGCTTCCATTAAAGAACACCCTCTGTGTTCTGTTAGACAGTTAACTCTTTATCCACAATATAGCAGGGGATGTAAAGCCATAACACATACGTTTTTTCCAGCAGCAGACTATGATTGATAATGTCAAAAGCCACACTGAAGTCTACAAAACAGCCCCCACAATCTTTTTATCATCAATTTCTCTCAGCCAATCATCAGTCATTTGTGTAAGTGCTGTGCTTGTTGAATGTCCTTCCCTATAAGCGTGCTGAAAGTCTGTTGTCAATTTGTTTACTGTAAAATAGCATTTTATCTGGTCAAACACATTTTTTTCCAAAACTTTACTAAGGGTTGGTAACAGGCTGATTGGTTGGCTATTTCAGCCAGTAAAGGCCACTTTACTACTCTTAGGAAGCGGCAATACTTTTGCTTCCCTCCAGGCCTGAGGGCACACACTTTCTAGTAGACTTAAATTGAAGATATGGCAAATAGGAGTGGCAATATAATTCGCTATTACCCTCAGTAATTTTCCATCCAAGTTGTCAGACCCGGTGGCTTGTCATAGTTAATAGACAAAAATATTGTTTTTACCTCTTCCACACTCACTTTACGCAATTCAAAATTAAAATTCTTGTCTTTCATAATTTGGTCAGATATACTTGAATGTGTAGTGTCAGCGTTTGTTGCTGGCATGTCATGCCTAAGTTTGCTAATCTTGCCAATGAAAAAATCATTAAAGTAGTTGACAATATTAGTTGACCATCTGATTCAATGAATGATGGAGCTCAGTTTGCCATTTTTCCCAAAATGTCATTGAAGGTGCTCCAAAGCTTTTTACTACCATTCTTTGTAATTTATCTTTGTTTCATAGTGTAGTTCTCTTCTTTTTATTCAGTTTAGTCACATGATTTCTCAATTTCCAGTACGTTTACTAATCGGTTGTGCAGCCAGACTTATTTGCCATTCCTTTTGCCTCATCCCTCTCAACCAAACAATTGTTCAATTCCTCATCAATCCACGGGGATTTAACCATTTTTCTAGTCATTTTCTTAATGGGTGCATGCTTATTAATAACTGGGATACGCAATTTCATAAATGTGTCAAGTTTACTCCTCATTACACACCACGGACCAACAAATATTCTTTACATCAACAACATAGGAATCACTACAAAACATATTGTATGACCTCTTATACTATATTAGGCCCAGCATTTTGGAACTTTGGTTTTCCTAGATATGGCTATTATATTATGATCACTACATCCGATGGATCTGGATACTGCTTTCAAGCACATTTCTGCAGCATTAGTAAAAATGTGATCAATACATGTTGATAATTTCATTCCTGTGCTCTTTGTAACTACCCTGGTAGGTTGACTGAGAACTGAACCAGGTTGCAGGCACTGGTTAAAGTGAAGCTTTTTGTTGAGTGGGCAGCTTGATGAAAGCCAGTCAATATTTAAATCAACCAGAAAATAAACCTCTCTGTTGATATCACATACATTATCAAGCATTTCACACGTTATCCAGATACTGACTGTTAGCACTTGGTGATCTATAGCTTCCCACAAGAATGGGCTTTAGGTGAGGTAGATGAACCTGTAGCCATTACTTCAACAGTATTTAACATGAGATCCTCTCTAATCTTTACAGGAATGTGGTTCTGAATATAAACAGCAACACCATTTCTGTCTTTTCTGGAAATGTTATAACCTTGTATTGCTACCACTGTATCATCAAAGGTATTGTCTAAGTGAGTTTCAGAGACGATATGAATGAATATGAATGTCATCTGTTACTAGCAAGTTATTCATTTCATGAACCTTTTTTCTTAAGTTATATATGTTAACGTGGGCTATTTTGAGAATTTTTCTGGGATGCTTGCTTGTTTTCATTGCTTTACTGGGAAGCTTAGCAGAAGTAGATATTCTCATGTTATTTATGTTAGTGCAGGGTGAGCTGCAAACAGTGGACTTCCTACTAGGGCACACCGCCTCAGTGCTAACAGCATAAATCTGGTTCATAGGCACTTGATTGCTGCATACTATAGCTGTAGGATTAGCAGCGGCATTCAGGGCAGTTAGAGGGACATAAATTAGGTTACTTACATTATGTCTACCAACACCCATGTTATAATGTACATTTGCTAAAGCATTATTATGACTCAGCGACACAATGGAAGGGATTAACTGAGCTGAGCTTGGGTCATTGATAAGTAATTGTCTCAACTCAGCCTTATAATGCTGTGAAAGGATCCAGGAACCCAAATGATTTGGGTGGATCCCATCCTCCTTATAAAACGTGTTTTGTTTCCAAAAGGCATCGAAATTGTCAACAAAAGCTATACCCATTGAGCTGCAAAAATCACGTAGCCAGTTGTGAAGAGAAATAATCTAAAGCGTTCAATGCCACGATTCAGAGAGGGCACAGGGCCAGATATGATGGGTCTTTTATTAGTGTTTAGCAGAGAGTCAATCAGCTCTTTAAAATCCAGAGCTGCCCTTCATAATGTCATTAAAACCCACATGGACTATGATAGAATCGATGTCCATGTCCTGGCGTAGTACATTCAGGAGCAGCTTAGTAATGTCATTTACTCGAGCTCCGGGATAGGACATTGTTTTTGCACCAGGAACAGTCACATTTCTTACCATGGAGCTGCCCAAAATCACGGCTGGCGAGAAGGACGCGGAAATCCGCCCACTCCCACGCTTCACAGGATTCGGAGAAACCTTTAAGGACGGGCGGGAGGCAGGATAACTTGAGCCCGTAACTCCCGGCGCCTAGTGCAGGCCTCCGACAGATGGAGAAGCCCTGCTCGATCCAGAGCAGGGACGGAAGGTTGCCGACGTCGACTTTGAAATCGTAGGGGAAGGAGTAGGAGTAGGCACAGGTACCCCCAGCGATAAAGGTGCAGGAAGATCAGCCTCCAGGGCGTGGAAACTATTTGTTGTTTGTATCCACTCCGGGCCTCTCGTTGGGTGTGTAGACTGCTTTGCGGGAGGTCGCTGTCTTCGGCTTCCACAGCTGGTGACATGAGACCATCGTTGATTGCCATGCTAATCTTGCTGTGCTTCTTCAACTCCGCTTTCAGATGGGGGAGGAGAGGCAGGAAATGGCTCCCCTGTGGAACGAATTCTGGGCAACACCGGCCAGTCGGATAACAACAAACAGCATGGTGCCGGAGGAGATGGCTGCCGTTTTACGGCCCCCTAACCAATTTTGCTATTATGTGTGTTTTTTTTTTGTTATTTGTAATGTATTCTGTACATAATGTTTCTGCCGCCGTCTCTTATGACCAAAAAGAGCTTCTGGATATCAGGACAGCGATTACTCACCTCGTATTGGACAAAAAAAAATTATTCAACGAGTCGGACGCAAAGGACATTCTACAGACACCCGACAAGGCTCAAATTACCGTAATTCGCATGAGAAAGAGATGGAGATATCGTGGACGTAGGTCGGGGTGCCTATTAAGGATCCGACGGTGAGCGAGTAATCTGCCTCTTCCATCAGTCTTATTAGACACTGTATAATCATTGGAAAACAAAATGGATGACCTAAGATCAAGGATATCCTACCAACGGGACAATAAAAACGGTCATATCTTATGTTTCACTGAGTCGTGGCTGAACGACGACATGGATAACATACAGCTGGCATGATATACGCTACATCGTCTGTGTATATTTGTAAACAACAGCTGGTGCACGAAATCTAATACCAAGAAAGTCTTGAGGTTTTGCTCACCTGAGGTAGAGTATCTCATGATAAGCTGTAGACCACACTATTTACCAAGGGTGTTTCCTTCTATATTTTTCGTAGCTGTCTATTTACCACTACAAACTGATGCTGGCACTAAGATTGCACTCAATGAGCTGTATAAGGCCATAAGCAAACAGGAAAACGGCCACATCCAGAGGCAGCGCTCCTAGTGGCCGGGGGAAAAAAAATTCTAGACCACCTTTACTCCACACACAGAGACGCGTACAAAGCTCTCCCTCGCCCTCCATTTGGCAAATCTGACCATAATTATATTCTCCTGATTCCGGCTTATAAGCAAAAACTAAAGCAGGAAGCACCAGTGACTTGGTTAATAAGGAAGCGGTATGATGACGCAGATGCTAAGCTACAGGACTGTTTTGCTAGCACAGACTGGAATATGTTCCGGGATTCTTCCGATGGCGTTGAGGAGTACACCACAGCAGTCACTGGCTTCATCAATAAGTGAATTGATGACGTCGTCCCCACAGTGACCGTACGTACATACCCCAACCAGAAGCCATGGATTACAGGCAACATCCGCACTGAGCTAAAGAGTATAGCTGCAGCTTTCAAGGAACGGGAATCTAACCCGGACACTTATAAGAAATCCCGCTATGCCCTCCGACGAACCATCAAACAGGCAAAGAGTCAATACAGGACTAAGATTGAATTGTACTACACTGGCTCCGATGCTCGTCGGATGTGGCAGGGCTTGAAAACTATTACAGACTACAAAGGGAAGCACAGCCATGAGCTGCCCAGTGACACAAGCCTACCAGACGAGCTAAATCACTTCTATGCTCGCCTCGAGGCAAGCAACACTGAAGCAAGCATGAGAGCATCAGCTGTTCCGGATGACTATGTGATCACGCTCTCCGTAGCCGATGTGAGTAAGACTTTTAAGCAGGTTAACATTCACAAGGCAGCAGGGCCAGACGGATTATCAGGACGTGTACTCCGAGCATGCGCTGACCAACTAGCAAGTGTCTTCACTGACATTTTCAACATGTCCCTGACTGAGTCTGTAATACCAACATGTTTCAAGCAGACCACCATGGTCCCTGTGCCCAAGAACACTAAGATAACCTGCCTAAATGACTACCGACCCATAGCACTCACGTCTGTAGCCATGAAGTGCTTTGAAAGGCTGGTCATGGCTCGTATCAACACCATTATCGCAGAAACCCTAGACCCACTCCAATTTGCATACCACCCCAACAGATCCACAGATGATGCAATCTCTATTGCAATCCACACTGCCCTTTCCCACCTGGACAAGAGGAACACCTACGTGAGAATGCTATTCATTGACAACAGCTCAGCGTTCAACACCATAGTGCCCTCGAAGCTCATCACTAAGCTAAGGACCCTGGGACTAAACACCTCCCTCTGCAACTGGATCCGGAACTTCCTGACGGGCTGCACCCAGGTGGTAAGGGTAGGTAACAACACATCTGCCACGTTGATCCTCAACACGGGGGCCCCTCATGGGTGCATGCTCAGTCCCCTTCTGTACTCCCTGTTCCCCCATGACTGCATGGCTAGGCACGACTCCAACACTCCTGAACAGCTAATCATGGCTACCCAGACTATTTGCATTGTCCCCCCCACCCCACCCCCTCTTTTACGCTGCTGCAACTCTGTTTATTATCTATGCATAGTCACTTTAACTCTACCCACATGTACATATTACCTAAATTACCTCGACTAACCGGTGCCCCCGCACATTGACTCTATACCGGTACCCCCTGTATATAGCCTCACTACCGTTATTTTATTTTACTGCTGATCTTAAATTTTAATTTTTTACCTATCTATTTTTTACTTAACACTTTTTTTCTTAAAACTGCATTGTTGGTTAAGGGCTTGTAAGTAAGCATTTCACTGTATTCGGCGCATGTGGCAAATAACATTTGATTTGATTTGATCCAACAAGCGCCAACGCCGTCCAGCCACCGGTGTAGAAAAGGTAAACATTCCTCTCTGCGTTTTCCCCAGTTTCTTACGTAGGCTAGCATCCTCCGTGATCAAGGAAGCCACCTCAAGCCTATAATCCTTGGCAAGCAAACATCTGCCGCATTGGAACTCTGAGTGATCCAGTTTGTCCCGAAACAAAGCATAGTAGATACAGCTCCTACAGCGCTGGAACCGTTCATTTACTTCTCCAGACAAAGAGGACTCCATTGTAAAACTCATCTTGGCCTAACTTTGTTAGCTTGATGGCTACCAGCTTAGCTAGGTTAGCTGCTCTGTCAAGCAGACTTCAACCTGTCAGTTTAGCGGGATTCCGGGACAAGAAATAGTGGTCCTAGTTGTTAAAATATTACCGTGATGCGGAATCCATGCAAAAATAAGTTAGGTATTTATATTTAACGAAGATTGGTTATGTTTTAGTCATCGCACTGGACCTGTGTCTGCGGGAAGAGAAGTCAAACTAGCGAATTTGTGCGAGGAAGTGGGCAGCTGCGCTGACAACAAACTAGGGCTGTGGAGCTGAGTGATGATCCGAGAGCAGAGGACCGAGAGAGGCATTGGCACAACACATCTAGGATATTTAGCTCGGCCAAGTAAGGGACGTGATTCTTCCTGTGTTCCCCCCACACTACGCTTTCTCTCTCTGGGCTGTTTTGCCAGACCACTGAAAGACACTATTGTCAGCTGGTTTCCCTGCCGTCCGTCTCCCTCTTGTTCAGCACCAGAGGCGGGGCCATCAGTGACGTTGACAAGCAGAGTCTCAGACCGGGCGCGTTCCAGGACAGGGAGCTGTGTGAATCTGGATATAGCCAGACAGAGACATTTTATTATTTTATTTTTGTGGGGATATGGTTCTCGTGAACCTATCCCCACCCTCTCGATATGTGGTCTTATCTGTCTTTCCCCCTCCCTGTTTTGTCCTATAGCAGTAGAGTCCTTTTGAAGGGTTGGCAGAGTAGAGCAGGGCCAAGGGTGGGTCCCATATTGTGTGGAGCACCAGAGTGAGATTGTATGACTTTCACCAGATTATTCGCAGTGCCTTCCCTTAGAATGACTATATTGTTGCAGTGCCATATCAGAATAATTCAGTGAGCAGTGTGTTGTAGTGTCACTTTCGCCTGCCCGATACTTACCTAAGGGAGTAAGTGGGAGGATAACCTACCTGAGGGGAGGCTCTATCATGTTGACAAAGTCTGGGAAAGGTGGGGAAACGGGGTCCAATCCATATTAACCCATGACTTGAAAATTAAACTTACCATGAGCATACTTGCCTGTCCTGGTCTTCTGTGTTGGGGTTGTGTGTGGGAGAACATTAAACCCTGTGTTGGGTGGAGTTATAGGGGTTCACACTAAACTGTGTAAGAACCACAACACTACTACAGTACCTCCCACCACAAATTCTGTTGCCTGTATATTTCACAATCATAACGGAACTTCATCCCCATGAGTGGTTCTAGTAAATCTAATGGGTTAGAATATTTTAATTGCATTCAGTTCGTAGCCTATAGTTCACTGTGCTATTTCCTTTCACCATACCCTGTCATCATGAATATCATCCTAACCTTGCTTAACTTCCCCTATAGGTAACCATAAGTGCAAACACACAGGCACACTCAGAAAATAGACATGCTATCAAGCACATTCACATTCAGACCAAACTGACAAAGGCTGTTATGCGAGAGCATAATTTCATCAACATCCTTTCAAAATCCCTCCTATTATTTTAACAGATTCATAACTTTCTTTGTAACACGCAATTTAACGAACACATTTCAGAAGCAGCACATCCTTGGTGCCGAGCTTTGAACGTAGATAGCTGCTTGAATATGCATAAAATGATCTGCTCACGTTAAATAGATGTGGTATTTACTCACATTGTACATCAAGAGACACTGGAGCAGAGGTGAGATGATCTTGACCTTGAACAGCACATCGGTATCTGCCAGCATCCTCAATGCTGGCCTGGAACTCTTTGTTGGGCACTGAGTGTCCATCCCTGAACCAGACAATAGTGGGATGGTCACTCAGTGTACATGTTGTGGAACACGTTAGTGTCACCTTCTCTCCCTCTCGCACAGTGGCAGGGTTGACTACAGCTGTCAGCCCTGGTAGAGAGGAGCAAGAAAAACAGTCATCACTGAATGTTTTATAGTGTTATGAGAGTGTGATTTACTTCTGGTAGCAAAATTACCTGTCAGAGTTAGTGTAACTGATGTTTTACTGCTCCATGCATTCGGTTTCTTATTTGTATTAATAGTCTCAAATCTGAAGCAGTATTTTGTTGCATCACTACTTACTAAGTTATTAATTCTCAAAGTGCAGTTGTGCTCTTTGTTTCCAAGGTATATTGAACGCTCTGTGTATTCCTTGGACATCAAGAGATCGTTGTTCTTCCCTTGACTCCAGAAGTACCAGAATGTATTTGTTATAGTCTGGTCTGAGGGGTAGTCATAAGTGCATCCAAACACCACTGATGACCCATTTAAGGCACATAGTTGTAAATTGCTTAAAGTCACCTTCCAATTACTCTCGCAAACACCTTTAAACAACAACAAAACAGGTGATGTTAACATACTTATCTACAACACTCATGCAAATACATACAGTATCAATTTTCCATTTAAATGTAGGAAAATAAAGCATTCCTATTTGTGGCCTACCTTTAGATATAATACTCTACACATGCTGGTGCACAAACAGACTATCAGTACCTCTGTATTTATATTAACGAAAAGAGTGAGTTACTAAGTAATCTCAGATAACATAGTCCTTCCCTTTGAATTTTATCATTTGATATCTACAGTACTAGTCAAAAGTTTGGAGACACCTACTCATTCAAGGGTTTTTCTTTATTTTTACATTGTAGAATAACAGTGAAGACATCAAAGGAATCATGTAGTTACCAAAAAAGTGTTAAAAACATCCAAATATATTTTATATTTGAGATTCTTCAAATAGCCACCCTTTGCCTTGATGACAGCTTTGTACACTCTTGGCATTCTCTCAACCAGCTTCACCTGGAATGCTTTTCCAATAATCTTGATGGAGTTCCCACATACGCTGAGCACTTGTTGGCTGCTTTTCCTTCACTCTCAAGGCACACTTAACCAAATGATAGTCCCACTAAGCCCAAACCTAACATATCCCAAACCATCTCAATTTGGTTGAGGTCGGGGGATTGTGGAGGCCAGGTCATCTGATGTAGCACTCCATCACTCTCCTTCTTGGTCAAATAGCCCGTACAATGCCTGGAGGTGTGTTGGGTCATTGTCCTGTTGAAAAACAAATGATAGTCCAACTAAGCCCAAACCAAATGGGATTGTGTATCGCTGCAGAATGCTGTGGTAGCCATTCTGGTTAAGTGTGCCTTGAATTCTAAATAAATCACAGACAGTGTCACCAGCAAAGCACCCACACACCATAACACCTCCTCCTCCATGCTTTACGGTGGGAACTACACATGCGGAGATCATCCGTTCACCCACACCGCATCTCACAAGGACACGGCGGTTGGAACCAAAAATCTCAAATTTGGACTCCAGACCAAAGGACACATTTTGACTGGTCTAATGTCCATTGCTCGTGTTTCTTGGTCCAAGCAAGTCTCTTCTTCGTATTGGTGTCCTTTAGTAGTGGTTTCTTTGTAGCAATTCGGCCTTGAAGGCCTGATTCACACAGTCTCCACTGAACAGTTGATGTTGAGATGTGTCTGTTACTTGAACTCTGTGAAGCATTTATTTGGCCTGCAATTTATAAGGCTGATTACTCTAATGAACTTGTCCGCTGCAGCAGAGGTAACTCTGGGTTTTCCATTCCTGTGGCGGTCCTCATGAGAGCCAGTTTCATCATAGTGCTTGATGGTTTTTGCGACTGCACTTGAAGAAACTTTCAAAGTTCTTGACATTTTCCATATTGACTGACCTTCATGTCTTAAAGTAATGATGGACTTTCGTTTCTCTTTGCTTATTTGAGCTGTTCTTGCCATAATATGGACTTGGTCTTTTACCAAATAGGGCTATCTTCTGTATCCCCCCCCCCCCCCCCCCCCCCCCCCCACCTTGTCACAACACAACTAATTGGCTCAAACGCATTAAGGAAAGAAATTCCACAAATTAACTTTTAAGAAGGCACACCTGTTAATTGAAATGCATTCCATGAAGCTGGTTGAGAGAATGCCAAGAGTGTGCAAAGTGTGGCTATTTGAAGAATCTCAAATATAAAATATATTTTGATTTGTTTAACACTTTTTTGGTTATATGTGTCCATATGTGTTATTTCATAGTATTGATGTCTTCACTATTATTCTTCAATGTGGAAAATTAATTGTACAAATTAAGATAAACCCTTGAATGAGTAGGTGTTCTAAAACTTTTGACCGGTAGTGTATAAATACACATTTGATATACATATACATTTCACCATCAAGGTAACACAATTATAAATATCCCCTCTGATCAGTTCCTTGTTCATCTCGTACGAGCCACATACAGTATACAGTTTATATCAATAATTAATTCTTAACTCAGTACTGACATCCACAAGATGATAGAGCATCAAAGCATACATATATTCTACTCACCTGGCAATGTGAGAGTAATCACCAGCATCACACTGGTTGTTTTCAAGAGCCACATCACATCAAACTGCAACACCTCGATACAAAACACCAGAGGTTTCTTTTGAGAACGGAATTACTTAACTTAATACCAAAGTCAATCATCAAACAGGCTCCAACAGTGTTTTCACTTAAAGCAGGTGTAACATTTGTCTTTGTCTCTGAAGAGTTCTCTCACAACTTGGACACAGCTCTAAATCATCTAGTCATCCTATCTTTAAATTCTCACTAAACAGATGGATTGTACATCACTACGCACCACTGTTGAACCAATTCAAGGAAAGAGAACACATGAAACTCTACAGAGAGAAACAGCACTACTCACCATCTTGTAGAGCGCGTCCAGAGAGACTGATCAGCAAATAACCATGCAAATAAATACCATGGAGAGATGTGGTAATAACCATGTCACAACTACGATGCAGAAGTTGGGCTGAGAATGAATTGTGTATGCAGCCTTTTGGTGCTATTTTCCTTCCTGTTATCATACACTTGATTTATTATCCTCCTGAGACCCAGCCCATTGACTTATATCCACTGTAGTGGACATTTGAGTTTCATCCCTCTTCTTGGAATCTTTTGTGCAAGTCTCTTAATTCCTGATGTACTGTACAGAGGACATCCTGGGCTTTTCAGTGATATGTCATTTGATTGGCTGGGAGGCCGGGAACCGCCTCTATCTTTCCTTTCAAAATGGACGGCATAGGAACAAGCACATTTTATGGAAAGATGAGAGGTAAGTCAAATATTGTTTGTCTATGGTTTTGTTACTATGATAATCATATCTTTTCTTGTTCATGAAGGTGTTAGGAATCATATATTTAGTTCTGATAGCAACTAAATTATGTATCTTTTGAAAGATTTGCCATTTTATGAATGTCAATTATAGTGGACATCAGGACTATCTTCATGTAAATAATGACTCCACATTGTCGTAGGAAACAGAACTGAAGCAGAAAGAATTCTTTACCGAATAGTCGAGGGAGATTCAGATTTGGAGTTGTCAGATGATGAGAGTGTCACAAGCCGGGCTAGAACTCCGGTCTCAGATGTGGAAAGCGGGGGGTACTACCCCTTAGCCACAGAGGAGGTGTTGTAGGACCCAAATGAAACACCCAAGGCAATACTCCAGGTAAGTTGATTTAATGTTCCAAAACAGGAGGCAAAACAAAACAACTCCACGAGGGGAGAAAAACAAACTAAAGATAACTTCGAACAGCTTACTAGGACAGACACGGTGGGACAAAGCAGGAGACACATAGTCAGGACGCAATAACCAAGTGAGAAACAAGGGGAAAACACACAGCTAAAATACTAAAGGGAAAACAAGGCACAGGTGACCTGGATCAAACTAATGAGGACACACGAGGAAGAACTAAGGCAGAGGGGAACACAGCTGACCTCTAGAGGCCCGGAGACAAACAGGAGAAGCAGGAAGCTGACAGAGAGAGATGAGGATAAGTTTCAACCAGTGATACAAAACGGTGATGAAGAAGAGGAAGACAATGTAGAAGGCTCAGTTGAAGGGACAGATGCAGACACAGACACAGATACAGACAGGGATGAACAGGAAACTCGTCGCCCTCTGTGGGCCAGGAGTAACATGTATGTTTGATGCAGTTCCACAATTTTAAATTCAGCTGCATTGAGTATTTAAACTGTTATTACTTATCATTTATTATTATTTTTTCCTTCATATCAGATTTGCACCTGTGTTACCTGGGCTTCCTGTGTGTCAAGATGACCCTACAACACGTGCAGACTGGAGTCCAATTGAATACTTTTCACAGTACATTGACAACAAGGTCTTTGAAGATTTGGCAACATACACAAATCAAAGAGAGCTGCAAATCAAAGGAGTGTGCATGAACACCACGCCACAAGAAATAAAAATATTCTTGGGCATTTCAGTCCACATGGCCTGCCTTGGCTATCCCAGAATTAAAATGTTTTGGGCCAACAAAACTAAAGTGCCAGTCATAAGTAGCAAAATGACTAGGGATAGATTCTTCAGGATAAGAAATTCCCTCAAGATTGTCAATGACCTGGCTGTAACAGAGGAAACAAAGAAGGCAGATATTCTTTGGAAAGTCAGGCCAATACTCGATCGTGTGCGCCAAGGCTGTCTCAGCCTTGCAAAGCCAGAAAGGGTCTGCATTGATGAGCAAATCATCCCATTCACAGGCCGTTGTCCAGTCAGGCAATATGTTCCCGGCAAGCCAAACCCTACTGGCCTAAAGGTCTTTGTCCTTGCATCCCCAAATGGTCTGATGCTTGATTTTGAAGTCTACCAAGGGAAGAATACCTTTACAGTCCAAAGGTTAGGAGTTGGAGCTGCAGCAGTTCTACGCATGGTTAAATCTGTTCCAACAGGAAGCCACATATTCTTTGACAGGTACTTCACAACCATAGATCTATTGGATGCATTGCTGGCAAAGGGCCTTCCTGCAACTGGAACTATAATGAAGAACCGTGTCCCAAAGCTGTGCCAGCTGCCAGTAGACAAACAGTTGAAAAAAGAGGGGAGAGGAACATCAGTGTCAGTGGCCAGAAAGAGTCCTGAGCTGGCCATCACAAAATGGTTCGACAACAAACCAGTGCTCATGGCATCCACTGTACATGGGAAAGACCCAGAAGACATCTGTACCAGATGGTCCAAGAAAGAAAAGCACCTGGTCCAGGTTAAAAGACCAGCAGTAATTAAGCAGTATAATGATAACATGGGTGGCGTAGATCTTTGTGATCGCATGCTTAGCTTCTATCGTATGTCAAGCAGGACCAAGAAGTGGACATCGCGCGTGATCAGTCACTTCTTTGATGTTGCCATCACCAACTCCTGGATACAATACCAGTCTGACAGCAAAGCTCTGCACAGACCATCCAAGAACACACATCAGTACCTGGACTTCAAACTACTCCTAGCTGAGGAGCTGTTGGAGAGTCCGGAACTGGAAAACAGCTGTGAAGAGAGTGAGGATGAGTATGAGCCACCATCTAAAATGAGGATCCCACAACCAGAGCCATCTGTGCGCAGACTAGGAGCCATGCACATGCCTGAGATGATTGATACCAAGCATGCAGAAAGATGCAGAAATAAGGGCTGCAAGAGCAAGACGTACATGAGATGTACCAAATGCAAGATGTTCCTCTGCATTACCAAAAAGAGAAATTGCTTCCAGGACTTTCACCACTAACAAAGAAAATACTAAGAACAAAATGAAGAGTGAAGGAAAAAGCTAGATTGGATTCAGTTTGACAGAAGGAAAAAATCCAAAATAAATCTGTTACACATTAGTTATATGTTCATTGTTCAAATAACACTGAAAGGATTCAAGGGGACCAATCAAAGGATATGGACATAACAAAGTGTTAAGCTTTAATGGTAAAGCTATCCTTGCGAAATGTAAGGAAAAGGATTCAAGAATGATTAATGTGTATTGTATAATCAAAATGTCTGTATTCTTGGATAATAATCAATCTACAGCCCAAAATGTATGTATTCTTAGTTCATAAAAACTCTGTAATCTGTAAGAACTCTGTAAAAATGTGTATCTACCAAATGTGTCTCTTTTCGTACTCAAATGATCCTGTTGTCCACTACAGTGGACATGCTGTAAAATAAAAAATTAAAATGTGGAAATTGTAGGATGCTTTTTTTAACCCTAAACAGTTATTGAATCACAAAAAATATGATTAGGAAAAACAATATTTTCCTCCACAAAATAACTGTCAATCTCCCTCAGCCTGGGGCTCCATGCAAGATCTCACCTCGTGGAGTTGCAATGATCATGAGAACGGTGAGGAATGAGCCCAGAACTACACGGGAGGACCTTGTCAATGATCTCAAGGCAGCTGGAACCATAGTCACCAAGAAAACAATTGGTAACACACTACGCCGTGAAGGACTGAAATCCTGCAGCGCCCGCAAGGTCCCCCTGCTCAAGAAAGCACATATACAGGCCTGTCTGAAGTTTGCCAATGAACATCTGAATGATTCAGAGGAGAACTGGGTTAAAGTGTTGTGGACAGATGAGACCAAAATCGAGCTCTTTGGCATCAACTCAACTCGCCGTGTTTGGAGGAGAAGGAATGCTGCCTATGACCCCAAGAACACCATCCCCAGTCAAACCATTGAGAAAACAGCGCCGGAGAAGATGGCTGCCGTTTTACAGCCCTCTAACCAATTGTACTATTATGTGTGTTTTTCCGCTTTATTTGTCATTTATTTTGTACATAATGTTTCTGCCATCGTCTCTTATAACCAAAAAGAGCTTCTGGATATCAGGACAGCGATTACTCACCTCGTATTGGACGAAGATTTTTTCTTCAACGAGGCGGCCGCGAAGGATATCATACAGACACCCGACAAGGCCCAAATCCCCGTCATTCGCGTGAGGAAGAGACGGAGATATCGTGGACGTAGATCGGGGTGCCTTGTAAGGATCCGACGGCGAGCGAGTAAACTGCCTCTTCCATCAATCCTATTAGCCAACGTTCAATCATTTGAAAATAAATTGGATGACCTAAGATTACGGTTATCCTACCAACTGTAATATATTATGTTTCACCGAGTCGTGGCTGAACGACGACATTGATAACATACAGCTAGCGGGCTATACGCTACATCGGCAGGATAGAACGGTTGACTCCAGTAAGACAAGGGGTGGCGGTCTGTGTATATTTGTAAACAACAGCTGGTGCACAAAATCAAATACTAAGGAAGTCTCGAGGTTTTGCTCGCCTGAGGTAGAGTATCTTATGATAAGCTGTAGACCACACTATTTACCAAGAGAGTTTTCATCTATATTTTTCATAGCTGTCTATTTACCACCACAAACCAATGCTGGCATTAAGATTGCACTGAATGAGTTGTACAAGGCCATAAATCAACAGGAAAACGCTCATCCAGATGCAGCGCTCCTAGTGGCCGGGGACTTTAATGCAGGTAAACTTAAATCCGTTCTACCTAATTTCTACCAGCATGTTAAATGTGCAACCAGAGGAAAAAAAACTCTAGACCACCTTTACTCCACACACAAAGACGCATACAAAGCTCTCCCTCGCCCTCCATTTGGCAAATCTGACCATAACTCTATCCTCCTGATTCCTGCTTATAAGCAAAAACTAAAGCAGGAAGCACCAGTGACTCGGTTAATAAAAAAGTGTTCAGATGACGCAGATGCTAAGCTACAGGACTGTTTTGCTAGCACAGACTGGAACATGTTCCGGGATTCTTCAGACAGCATTGAGGAGTACACCACATCAGTCACTGGCTTCATCAATAAGTGCATCGATGATGTCGTCCCCACAGTGACCGTACGTACATACCCCAACCAGAAGTCATGGATTACAGGAAACATCCGCACTGAGCTAAAGGGTAGAGCTGCCGCTTTCAAGGAACGGGACTCTAACCCGGACGCTTATAAGAAATCCCGCTATACCCTCCGACGAACCATCAAACAGGCAAAGAGTCAATACAGGACTAAGATTGAATCGTACTACACTGGCTCTGACGCTCGTCGGATGTGGCAGGGCTTGAAAACTATTACAGACTACAAAGGGAAGCACAGCCGCGAGCTGCCCAGTGACACAAGCCTACCAGACGAGCTAAACTACTTCTATGCTCGCTTCGAGGCAAGCAACACTGAAGCATGCATGAGAGCACCAGCTGTTCCGGATGACTATGTGATCACGCTCTCCGTAGCCGATGTGAGTAAGACTTTTAAGCAGGTCAACATTCATAAGGCCGCAGGGCCAGACGGATTACCAGGACGTGTACTCCGAGCATGTGCTGACCAACTGGCAAGTGTCTTCACTGACATTTTCAACATGTCCCTGACTGAGTCTGTAATACCAACATGTTTCAAGCAGACCACCATAGTCCCCGTGCCCAAGGACTCTAAGATAACCTGCCTAAATGACTACCGACCCGTAGCACTGACGTCTGTAGCCATGAAGTGCTTTGAAAGGCTGGTCATGGCACACATCAACAGCATCATCCCAGAAACCCTAGACCCACTCAATTTGCATACCGCCCCAACAGATCCACAGATGATGCAATCTCTATTGCACTCCACACTGCCCTTTCCCACCTGGACAAGAGGAACACCTACGTGAGAATGCTATTAATTGACTACAGCTCAGCATTCAACACCATAGTGCCCTCTAAGCTCATCACTAAGCTAAGGATCTTGGGACTAAACACCTCCCTCTGCAACTGGATCCTGGACTTCCTGACGGGCCGCACCCAGGTGGTAAGGGTAGGTAACAACATATCTGCCACACTGATCCTCAACACGGGGGCCCCTCAGGGGTGCGTGCTCAGTCCCCTCCTGTACTCTATGTTCACCCATGACTGCATGGCCAGGCACGACTCCAACACCATCATTAAGTTTGCCGACGACACAACAGTGGTAGGCCTGATCACCGACAACGATGAGACAGCCTATAGGGAGGAGGTCAGAGACCTGGCCGTGTGGTGCCAGGACAACAACCTCTCCCTCAACGTGACCAAGACAAAGGAGATGATTGTGGACTACAGGAAAAAAAAGAGGACTGAGCACGCCCCCATTCTCATCGACGGGGCTGTAGTGGAACAGGTTGAGAGCTTCAAGTTCCTTGGTGTCCACATCACCAACGAACTATCATGGTCCAAACACACCAAGACAGTCGTGAAGAGGGCACGACAAAGCCTATTCCCCCTGAGGAGACTGAAAAGATTTGGCATGGGTCCTCAGATCCTCAAAAAATTCTACAGCTGCACCATCGAGAGCATCCTGACTGGTTGCATCACCGCCTGGTATGGCAACTGCTTGGCCTCCGACCGCAAGGCACTACAGAGGGTAGTGCGTACGGCCCAGTACATCACTGGGGCCAAGCTTCCTGCCATCCAGGACCTCTATACCAGGCGGTGTCAGAGGAAGGCCCTCAAAATTGTCAAAGACTCCAGCCACCATAGTCATAGACTGTTCTTTCTGCTACCGCACGGCAAGCGGTACCGGAGTGCCAAGTCTAGGTCCAAAAGACTTCTCAACAGCTTCTACCCCCAAGCCATAAGACTCCTGAACAGCTAATCATGGCTACCCGGACTATTTGCACTGCCCCCCCCACCCCATCCTTTTTACGCTGCTGCTACTCTGTTAATTATTTATGCATAGTCACTTTAACTCTACCCACATGTACATATTACCTCAACTACCTCAACTAGCCGGTGCCCCCGCACATTGACTCTGCTACGGTACCCCCCTGTATACAGTGGGGAAAAAAGTATTTAGTCAGCCACCAATTGTGCAAGTTCTCCCACTTAAAAAGATGAGAGAGGCCTGTAATTTTCATCATAGGTACACGTCAACTATGACAGACAAAATTAGATTTTTTTTTCTTGAAAATCACATTGTAGGATTCTTTATGAATTTATTTGCAAATTATGGTGGAAAATAAGTATTTGGTCAATAACAAAAGTTTCTCAATACTTTGTTATATACCCTTTGTTGGCAATGACACAGGTCAAACGTTTTCTGTAAGTCTTCACAAGGTTTTCACACACTGTTGCTGGTATTTTGGCCCATTCCCCCATGCAGATCTCCTCTAGAGCAGTGATGTTTTGGGGCTGTCGCTGGGCAACACGGACTTTCAACTCCCTCCAAAGATTTTCTATGGGGTTGAGATCTGGAGACTGGCTAGGCCACTCCAGAACCTTGAAATGCTTCTTACGAAGCCACTCCTTCGTTGCCCGGGCGGTGTGTTTGGGATCATTGTCATGCTGAAAGACCCAGCCACGTTTCATCTTCAATGCCCTTGCTGATGGAAGGAGGTTTTCACTCAAAATCTCACGATACATGGCCCCATTCATTCTCTCCAAACACGACGAGTTGAGTTTTTACCAAAAAGTTATATTTTGGTTTCATCTGACCATATGACATTCTCCCAATCCTCTTCTGGATCATCCAAATGCACTCTAGCAAACTTCAGACGGGCCTGGACATGTACTGGCTTAAGCAGGGGGACACGTCTGGCACTGCAGGATTTGAATCCCTGGCGGCATAGTGTGTTACTGATGGTAGGCTTTGTTACTTTGGTCCCAGCTCTCTGCAGGTCATTCACTAGGTCCCCCCGTGTGGTTCTTGTGATCATTTTGACCCCATGGGGTGAGATCTTGCGTGGAGCCCCAGATGGAGGGAGATTATCAGTGGTCTTGTATGTCTTCCATTTCCTAATAATTGCTCCCACAGTTGATTTCTTCAAACCAAGCTGCTTACCTATTGCAGATTCAGTCTTCCCAGCCTGGTGCAGGTCTACAATTTTGTTTCTGGTGTCCTTTGACAGCTCTTTAGTCTTGGCCATAGTGGAGTTTGGAGTGTGACTGTTTGAGGTTGTGGACAGGTGTCTTTTATACTGATAACAAGTTCAAACAGGTGCCATTAATACAGGTAACGAGTGGAGGACAGAGGAGCCTCTTAAAGAAGAAGTTACAGGTCTGTGAGAGCCAGAAATCTTGCTTGTTTGTAGGTGACCAAATACTTATCTTCCACCATAATTTGCAAATAAATTCATAAAAAATCCTACAATGTGATTTTCAGGATTTTTTTTCCTCAATTTGTCTGTCATAGTTGACGTGTACCTATGATGAAAATTACAGGCCTCTCTCATCTTTTTAAGTGGGAGAACTTGCACAATTGGTGGCTGACTAAATACTTTTTTCCCCACTGTATATAGCCTCCCTACTGTTATTTTATTTTACTTCTGTTCTTTTTTTTCTCAACACTTTTTTTGTTGTTGTTTTATTTTTACTTTTTTTGTTAAAAATAAATGCACTGTTGGTTAAGAGCTGTAAGTAAGCATTTCACTGTAATATCTGCACCTGTTGTATTCGGCGCATGTGACCAATACAATTTGATTTGATTTGATTTGATGGAGGTGGAAACATTATGCTTTGGGGGTGTTTTTCTGCTAAGGGGACAGGACAACTTCACTGCATCAAAGGGACGATGGACGGCGCCATGTACCATCAAATCTTGGGTGAGAACCTCCTTCCCTCAGCCAGGGCATTGAAAATGGGTCGTGGATGGGTATTCCAGCATGACCATGACCCAAAACACACGGCCAAGGCAACAAAGGAGTGGCTCAAGAAGAAGCACATTAAGGTCCTGGAGTGGCCTAGCCAGTCTCCAGACCTTAATCCCATAGAAAATCTGTGGAGGGAGCTGAAAGTTCGAGTTGCCAAACGTTAGCCTCGAAACCTCAATGACTTGGAGAAGATCTGCAAAGAGGAGTGGGACAAAATCCCTCCTGAGATGTGTGCAAACCTGGTGGCCAACTACAAGAAACGTCTGAACTCTGTGATTGCCAACAAGGGTTTTGCCACCAAGTACTAAGTCATGTTTTGCAGAGGGGTCAAATACTTATTTCCCTCATTAAAATGCAAATCAATTTATGAAATTTTTGACATGCGTTTTTCAGGATTCTTTTGTTTTTATTCTGTCTCTCACTGTTCAAATAAACCTACCATTAAAATTATAGACTGATCATGTCTTTGTCAGAGGGCAAATGTACAAAATCAGCAGGGGATCAAATACTTTTTTCCCTCACTGTATGTATTCATCCCCTTTGCTATGAAGCCCCTAAATAAGATCTGGTGCAACCAATTACCTTCAGAAGTCACATAATTAGTTAAATAAGGTCCACCTGTGTTCAATCTAAATGTCACATGATCTCAGTATATATACACCTGTTCTGAAAGGCCCCAGAGTCTGCAACACCACTAAGCAAGCGGCACCACCACCATGAAGCCCAAGGAGCTCTCCAAACAGGTCAGGGACAAAGTTGTGGAGAAGTACAGATCAGGGTTGGGTTATAAAAAAAAATATCCGAAACTTTGAACATCCCACGGAGCGCCATTAAATCCATTATAAAAAAATTGAAAGAATATGGCACCACAACAAACCTGCCAAGAGAGGGCTGCCCACCAAAAGTCATGGACCAGGCAAGGAGGCCATTAATCAGAGAGGCAACAAAGAGACCAAAGATAACCCTGAAGGAGCTGCAAAGCTCCACAGCGGAGATTGGAGTATCTGTCCATAGGACCACTTTAAGCCATACACTCCACAGAGCTGGGCTTTAGTGAAGAGTGGCCAGGAAAAAAGCCATTGCTTAAAGAAAACAATAAGCAAACACATTTAGTGTTCGCCTTAAGGCATGTGGGAGAGTGTTGTTTTTTAAAGGTGTTTGTGAGAGTAATTGGAAGGTGACTTTAAGCAATTTACAACCATGTGCCTTAGAGGGGTCATCAGTGGTGTTTGGATGCACTTATGACTACCCCTCAGACCAGACTATAACAAATACCTTCTTGTACTTCTGGAGTCAAGGGAAGGACAACGATCTCTTGATGTCCAAGGAATACACAGAGCGTTCAATATACCTTGGAAACAAAGAGCACAACTGCACTTTGAGAATTAATAACCTAATTAGTAGTGTTGCAACAACACAATACCACTTCAGATTTGAGACCGTTAATGAAAAAAAAGAAACAAATGGATGGAGCAGTAACACAGGGGTTTCACTAACTTTGACAGGTGAGTTTGATACCAGAAGTAAAGCCCACTTTCATAACACTATAACATTTTCAATGATATCTCTGTTTCTTTCTCCTCTCTACAACGGCTGACAGCCAAAGTAAAATCTTCCACTGTGAGAGAGGGAGAGAAGGTGACACAAAAATGTGACCATCCCGCTATTGTCTGGTTCAGGGATGAACACTCAGCACCCAACACAGAGTTCCTGGCCAGCATTGAGGATTCTGGCAGCTACCAATGTGCTATTCAAGGTCAAGATCATCTATCTTCTGCTCCAGTGTCTCTTTATGTCCAATGTGAGTAAATACATGATCTACTTAATGGAGCAGCTATCTGCGTTCAAAGCTCTGCACCAAAGATGTGCTGCTTCTGAAGTTCAAAGGGGACATCATTGCATTACTGATTCTAATGAATAGGGGTGATTTTGGAAGAAGGATGTTGATGAAATAGTGCTCTGGCATAACAGTCTTTGTCAGTTTCGGCTGAATTTGAATGTGCTTGATAAGAAATTTGAATTTGCCTTGAAAAGCTGCAGTCTCTATTTGCTAAGCCTGGCTGTGTGTTTACATTGTGGTTACTTTTAGGGGAAGTTAAGCAGTTTGAGGATGATGTTCATAATGACAGGGTATGGTGAGAGGAAATAACAGTGAACTATAGGCTACTAACTGAATGCAGAACTGTTCTGAGAACACCAATGGAAAAAGTCTAAACCATTACATTTACCGGACCACTAATAGGGATGAAAGTTCAGTGTTATGATTTTGTGAAATATACAGGCAACATTATGTGTGGTAAGAGGTATGTAGTAGGGTTTTTCTATAAGAGATATGTTCAACATTATATAAACACCTGTAACCTTACTCCCTCTCCTACAGATGCTCCAAAGAATGTCATATTGTCTGTCAGTCCATCTGTAGATGTTGTTAAGGGTATCTCAGTCACTCTCACCTGCAGCTGCAGTGCAAACCCCCCTGTGTTGAGCTATATCATGTATAGGGAGAGTGGGCAGGGCTCTACTGTTGTGGCATGGTGGCTGTCTCACATCCAGGGAACAGTGGAAGGTACTACTGTGATGCCAGAAACAGTATCAACACAGTCAGATCTAATCAAACTACCCTCAATGTTCAGTGTGAGTATTGGCAGTTTAATTCGGTGCTAACTAACTGTAGGCCAACATGAGTCACTTTGTGATGCCAGTACCTTTTGGCTGTGTGAAAGAAAAAAGTATATTTGATGTACTCGCAGCTATTTGTTTTGTCTTGCAGACCCTCCTGAGAACATCGCAGTAACAGTCAGTCCCTCTGGTCCAGTGGTAGAGGGCAGCTCTGTGAATCTAACCTGCAGCAGCCATGCTAACCCAGCAGTGAGCTACACCTGGTACAGAGTCAATGGTAGCACCCCTGTCCAGTCAGGGACTCAGTTGTTATTTGAGGCTGTCTCTCCTGCTAACTCAGGGAGGTATTACTGTGAGGCATGGAACAAACATGGAGCCCTCAACTCATCAGTCCTGGTTCTTGATGGTCTGTGTAAGTTAAGTCTGCTTGCTATGTTGGGATGTCAGTTTTTTGTGCTAAATTGTGTGTGCTTTCTTTATAGGGAAGCAGGTTGTTAAAACGTTATGTTGTTTAGCAAGACAGTTTAATCACACTGCAACAGTTTTCCACAACGGTGTAAACATAACGGGTCAGCAGTTGGAGTCAATCTCAATTCCCTGTAAGCCAGGGCCCGATTTCCCAAAATCATCTTAAGGCTATGTTAATCATTAGAACCTTTGTAGGAGCATCGTTAAATCTCGTAAAACCGTCATTTCTAAGTTTCACTTGAAAATGCTTGTTAATTACCGCCTGCCTCAGACCACTCATAGAACAGCTAAGTGCATCGTTAGATGCGTTTTTTCCCTACCGCGTCACATTATACACAGACCTCCGCTAAACATAGAATCAAAGATGTTTATTTGTCTCTCTGTGACCACCAATAACTTCACAATGAAGTTGACAAAAAATGTAAAGTTGCCAATGTCTTTGCAATTGTTACAAACAAGCGAAGGATAAAAATATGTTTCAAATGAAAACAGAGATAACTGCATTAAAATATAGCCTACAGTATAGGCAGGGTTGGAGAGTAACAGATTACATGTTACATATAACGGATTATGAAAAAACTGTAACTGTAATCTGTTACTTTACCAGCAAAAATATTGTAATCAGATTACAGATACTTTTGAAAAAGTGGATGATTACTTCTAGGATTACTTTTACATTCAGAAACAATGTTTGCGATTTATTTTTTGTCAATGACATTCAAATCAGCATTGAAAAAAGGTCTAAGTTTAAATTTGTTCTGCCTGAGTGAGTCTGACCACAAGTCAGAGACCACTATGATGACACACAAAATGCTTTTGCTGGATCACGGGAAAAGAGCAGGAATAGGCTTTTGTAGGCTACAGTCCAAGCAAGATATGTCTTCCAATGATGCGACTGCTGTCGGCATCCAAAGATTATCCAACTTGAATATTTAAAGAATACCCACATTTGGGTATTTTAAATGTGGTCATCCTACTGTCAATGCAATAGAATCATACTCCGATGCGTTCCACCTACAACAAAATCTCTTGCATAGTTTGTTTTGAATACTAAGTCTTGCATAGTTCATTTTGTTTCAATATGTTGCATTGAAAGTGGCTAATATTGTGTTGATTCTATCACAACTCCCACAGTAAAGGGAAAGGTTGATAGTGTTAACTAATGTGGAAAGCTCTAGAAAGTTGAGTCTCGTGCTTCCCTGCGCTGGCTGATATTTCGTCTGCATGGCAGTCCCTGGGGAGCTGCGTGTCACAGTTTAGAGGGAACATTGGTAACTAGTAACTGTAACGGATTATATTTAGAAAGTAACCTACCGAATGCTGAGTATAGGCGACATATACAGTGCATTCGGAAAGTATTCAGACCCCTTGACTTTTTCCACATTTTCTTACTTTAAAGCCTTATTCTAAAATGTATTAAATTGTTATTTTTCCTCATCAATCTACACTCAATACCCCATAATGAAAAAGCAAAAACAGTTTTGTAGAAATGTTTGCTAATCATAAAAATAAGTATTCAGACCCTTTACTCAGTACTTTGTTGAAGCGCCTTTGGCAGCGATTACAGCCTCGAGTCTTCTTGGGTATGACGCTACAAGCTTGGCACACCTGTATTTGGGGAGTTTCTCCCATTCCTCTTTGCAGATCCTCTCAAGCTCTGTCAGGTTGGATGGGGAGCATTGCTGCACAGCTATTTTCAGGTCTCTCCAGAGATATTCGATCGGGTTCAAGTCCGGGCTCTGGCTGGGCCACTCAAGGACATTCAGAGACTTGTCCCGAAGCCACTCCTGCATTGTCTTGGCTGTGTGCTTAGGGTCGTTGTCCTGTTGGAAGGTGAACCTTCACCCCAGCCTGAGGTCCTGAGTGCTCTGGAGCAGGTTTTCATCAAGGATCTCTCTGTACTTTTCTCTGTTCATCTTTCCCTCTATCCTGACTAGTCTCCCAGTCCCTGCCACTGAAAAACATCCCCACAGCATGATGTTGCCACCACCATGCTTCACCATAGGGATGGTACCAGGTTTCCTCCAGACGTGACACTTGGTATTCAGGCCAAAGAGTTCAATCGTGATTTCATCAGACCAGAGAATCTTTTTTTTTTTTTTGTATAATTTTTTTATTTATTTTATTTTTATTTTATTTATTTTTTGGGGGGATGGATCAGCTTAATATTGCAGATAGATTGTATCTTCTATCAATGTAATTGTCTGCATCACTTCCAATCCCCCATGTTTTTTTTATTTTTTATATATATATATTCCCCTTTATTACTTTTCAACCCCACCATCCTTTCCCTACTTGGAGTAAATTAGTGAACAACAACGCCCAGGCCTCTACTTCCGGTCTATACTTACTATCTACACCTTATGGACAGAGTTAATTTTACAATAATTATATATCTATATATATATATATATATATATATATATATATATATATATATATATATTTTTTTTTTTTTTTTTTTTTTTGCTCCTGAACTTCTTCTACTCTCAACCTCTCCGATCATTTTCATGATGTCCATCCGGTTTGCTTCTAAATGCCATATCTTTCTAACTGTGCTCTTTCCCAAAAGCTCCCAACATACAACCTATATACTTATTATGGACACAGTATGCTTACATTATTAGCTATCTTTGTTATTATTTGTTGTTATTTGTTATTAGTCCCATCCTTCAACTCTATTCAATACCTCCCATCTATCTCTTAACACCATCCATATAGGATTTCTATTTGCCATATATATTTCAACCATACTGTGATGTTTTACAAAAGTTCTGAACCTTTCTATTCTCATTGCTTCTACAGATTGTGAATTAAAAATAAACATTTTTGCTAAAAGTATTATTATATTATTGATTGATTGACTATGACTTTTCAGATCACCCAGTAATGCTATCTGCAAGGTTAGTTCCAGGTAAATATTGCAATCCTTTAGCCATTCCTGGACCTGTGTCCAAAAACAAGCTACAAATGGACAGAACCAAAACAAATCAGACCAGAGAATCTTGTTTCTCATGGTTAGAGAGTCTTTAGGTGCCTTTTGGCAAACTCCAAGTGGGCTGTAATGCACCTTTTACTGAGGAGAGGCTTCCGTCTGGCCGCTATACCATAAAGGTCTGATTGGTGGAGTGCTGCATAGATGGTTGTCCTTCTGAAAGGTTCTCCCATCTCCACAGAGGAACTCTAGAGCTCTGTCAGAGTGGCCATCGGGTTCTTGGTCACCTCCCTGACCAAGGCCCTTTTCCCCCGATTGCTCAGTTTGGCCGGGCGGCCAGCTCTAGGAAGAGTCTTGGTGGTTCCAAACTTCTTGCATTTAAGAATGATGGAAGCCACTGTGTTCTTGGGGACCTTCAATGCTGCAGACATTTTTTGGTACCCTTCCCCAGATCTGTGCCTCGACACAATCCTGTTTTGAAGCTCTACGGACAATTCCTTCAACCTCATGGCTTGGTTTTTGCTCTGACATGCACTGTCAACTGTTGGATTTTATATAGACAGGTGTGTGCCTTTCCAAATCATGTCCAATCAATTGAATTTACCACAGATGGACTCCAATCAAGTTCTAGAAACATCTCAAGGATGATCAATGGAAACAGGATGCAGCTGAGATCAATTTCGAGTGTCATAGCAAAGGGTCTGAATACTTACATTACCAGTCAAAAGTTTGGACACACCTACTCATTCAAGGGTTTATCTTTATTTTTACAATTTTTTACATTGTAGAATAATAGTGAAGATATCAAAACTATGAAATAACACATATGGAATCATGTATTAACCAAAAAACATATATTTTATATTTCAGATTCTTCAAATAGCCACCCTTTGCCTTGATGACAGCTTTGCACACTCTTGGCATTCTCTCAACCAGCGTCACCTGGAATGCTTTTCCAACAGTCTTGAAGGAGTTCCCACATATGCAGAGCACTTGTTGACTGTTTTTCCTTCACTCTGTGGTCCGACTTATCCCAAAACATCTCAATTGGGTTGAGGTCGGGGGATTGTGGAGGCCATGTCATCTGATGCAGCACTCCATCACTCTCGTTCTTGGTTAAATAGCCCTTACACAGCCTGGAGTTGTGTTAGGTCATTGTCCTGTTGAAAAACAAATGATTATCCCACTAAGCCTAAACCAGATGGGATGGCGTATCGCTGCAGAATGCTGTGGTAGCCATGCTGGTTAAGTGTGCCACCAGCAAAGCACCCCCACACCATAACACCTCCTCCTCCATGCTTTACGGTGGGAAATAAACATGTGGAGATCATCCGTTCACCCACACTGCGTCTCACAAAGACACTGAGGTTGGAACCAAAAATCTCAAATTTGGACTCCAGACCAAAGGACACATTTCCAGCAGTCTAAAGTATATTGCTCGTGTTTCTTGGCCCAAGTAGGTCTCTTCTTATTATTGGTGTCCTTTAGTAGTGGTTTCTTTGTAACAATAGAGTGTGAAGGGTTCTGAACATTCTCAGACGTGTTATGGAAAAGGGCTCTCTTGTGACAAAGTCAATTGGAGCCAACTCTTTATTATACACATCGAAACATACAGTCTCCTCCGTACCCTCAACAGAAGGGTGGGGGGGAATAGTGGGCTCAGTCGAACCATGCACTGTGCCAGCTCCCATTCTCTCCCCCTTGTCCCGTCATTGGCGCCGTCTCTTCTGGCTGCCAGGTCGGCGTTCTGACCACCTCTCTGGCCGGCGGAACCGTCGAGGCCTCGGGTGCTGCTGGGGGGCGGGGCCCTCTCGCCTGCTGCTTGAGACCGACGCCTGACGCCGGGCACGACGCCTCGCTGTAGATCCTGACCTACTGGAGGCAGTGGAGGTGGACAGCTTCTGCGGCACGTGGCTAGACTTCCCTGCCAGTGGCAGGTGTCTGGCCAGCTGCTTCCTCTCCTCGTCCAACTTCATAAACCGCTCCGTCGCCTCTTTGATGGTGACTCCGAAGAGACCTTCGTCAGAGATGGGGGCGTTAAGAAGTGACGCTCTGTCTGCCTCTTTCATGGCCGTCATGGACAGCCAGAGGTGTCGCTCCGTGACCACCGAAGTGGCCATGGACCTCCCCACACAGACGGCCGACGCTTGAGTCAGGTGGAGAATAGCGCCAGAAATCCTGGACGCCTCTTCCACCTCCTCTCTCGTGAGCTCAGTCCTACCCGTGGTTAGACGGAACAGAGAGGCCGCGAGGAGGGCAATGTTGTTGGACCTCTCACTCTCCAAAGGAAAGGGGGTCTTGAAGGTTTGGGTCAGAGGGACGGGCTGTTCCATAGGAATGTCCATCTCATCCCCGTCATCCCTGTCTTCTCCAGAGTCGGTGCCTTCGGATGACGCCTCAGAAGCTGAGGCTAACACCGATAGCACGTCACGTCCTCTAAAGGGATATCCTCCCTATAAAAGGCCCAGCGCTGCTTCCTCTCCTTCAATGGAAGGAGGGCGCAGCTGGCGCAAATAGGGGGATCGCTGATGCCGTCCTTGGGTCCGCAGCCGCCATGGAGGAGCTCTGAAAAAAGCTTTTGGGGGTGGAAAACTTCCCAGTGTGCTCATTCTAGGACGACGTCGAGAGCTGGAAATCGACGCCGTTATCTTCGTCCTGAGTCTTCATCTCTTCCTAGGCTCTTCAGTCTAGTCCAGTCGCTGAAGATAATGGGAGGCTGATTGAGGGGAAGCGTCACCTCTTATAGGGACACCTGTACTCCTATTGGCTGCAGGTGTGTGCATAATTTTGTCTCAGGCTGTTCACTGCCTAGGCAGCGGAGTAAACCAATAGGTGCATAGCTCCCCTATGGGGCGGAGCTCCACGATATAGAACTCTAATGAACTTATCCTCTGCAGCAGAGGTAACTCTGGGTCTTCCATTCCTGTGGCGGTCCTCATGAGAGCCAGTTTCATCATAGTGTTTGATGGTTATTGCAACTGCACAAAGTTCTTGAAATGTTCCGGATTGACTGACCTTCATGTCTTAAAGTAATGATGGACTTTCGTTTTTCTTTGCTTATTTGAGCTGTTCTTGCCATAACATGGACTTGGTATTTTACCAAATAGGGCTATCTTCTGTATACCCCCTACCTTGTCACAGCACAACTGATTGGCTCAAAAGTATTAAGAAGGAAAGAAATTCCACAAATTAACTTTTAAGAAGGCACACCAGTTAATTGAAATGCATTCCAGGTGACTACCTCATGAAGCTGGTTGAGAGAATGCCAAGAGTGTGCAAAGCTGTCATCAAGGCAAAGGGTGGCTATTTGAAGAATCTGAAATATAAAATATATGTTGATTTGTTTAACAGTTTTTTACTACATGATTCCATTTGTGTTATTTCATAGTATTGATGTCTTCACTATTATTCTACAATGTAAAAAATAGTTTAAAAAAATAAGAAAACCCTGGAATGAGTAGGTGTGTCCAAACTTTTGACTGGTACTGTATGTAAATAAGATATTTCTGTTTAAAATATTTTTAAAAAAAAGTCAAGGGGTCTGAATACTTTCCGAAGGCACTGTAGGCCTATATAATTCAAGAATATAGAAATCAATTTCATGATCATTGAATTGAGTTCTATCTTGCTAATTGTAGGCTACTGTCTGTCATTTTTGCCTCAATATATTTTATTATGTGTAACGTGCACAATTATGTGCCAAATCTTGATTTACTGTATTATTATAGGGTAAGCATTAGAATAAGCCGCCTCAATATTTGCAGCCGTAGGTAATGTCTTTCTAGTAGCTGATCCTTCGTCAGTATTGTTGAATAATTCTAATGTTAAGGTAAGATTTTAATGGAGAAAGCTGATCCGAGGACAGTGTTGCCTTTCTTTCAATCCTATCAGTATCGACACATTCCTCAACAACTCACTTAGCAAATGTTCTCTCTGCATGGTGTTTTGGGAAACTAATGATATATTTTTGGCCGTTGTAGGAAAGATGCATAATTAAAACACTCTTAAGCTTAAATTCCATCACTATCAGGAAACCGGGCCCAGGACTGTTTATTAATCATTACTTAATATGGAGCAGTTATCACCTTTCTGCTTGCTTTAGATGCCACAAGGAACACCTTGGTGTCAGTCAGTCCCTCTGGTCCATTGTTAGAGGGAAGCTCTGTGAATCTGACCTGCAGCAGCCACGCCAACCCAGCAGTGGAGAACTACACCTGGTTTAAGAAGGATGGAGCAGACACCTCACAGACAGGGTCAGGAGAAGTATTGAGATTGACCTCTCTAATCTCACCTGACAGTGGACAGTACATCTGTGAGGCCAGGAACAGAGAAGGGCCTCACAACTCTACTGTGGTGCCTCTGACCATACAGGGTGCCAATCATGGTGATTGTGGAGGGAAATGTCCTGTTCTCCTGAATCAATATGTTCTAAATGGGAATTAGTTTAGCTTGAATGTATTTTGTTCATGTACCCTGTGACTTTTTCAGCTACAAATACTGTCCAAATGCTAGTTTACATTGGTTCCGCGGCCACAGTTTTCATGGTGATCATACTTTTGGTGAGTAGAACACAGCACTCTAATTCACAATACCAATAGCATGTCAATGCAATAGTGTTCTCTGAAGGTTTGAACGCAGTAAGTGTTCATGGTATTTGAACAACGTTCAAGCGCAAGCTTCTATTCCTCCCCAGTAACAAGATATTTAGTTTAACTAACAGATTAAAATAAGGTGAGTAGTCAATATAGCAAACATTTTGTATTGTTTTTGACTGATTCCATATTTCAGGATGATCAAAACACAGTCTTATCCAGTAGAAGGACCAGTAACGAGCCAGCAACACAGGAAACTAGAACGGAGGAAAAGGAACATGCCCTCTATGCCAATGTTCAACTGCCTCCCTCTCACACCCACCACCAAGACAGTTCTCTGTACTCTGTGGTCCAGCCACCACCTCCGCAGAACCCTCCAGACCCTCATTACGCTACCTTTGACTTCCAGCAGTTCCACAGCTCCATCGACAGAGCCCTATTCTCCAGACCCCATGGAGAGGATGATGTTATATACTCCACGGTGAAAGCCAGACAGGCCAACGTGACAGACAACCTCCAGTACGCCAGCATCCAGTTCCCCCTTCCCAGTCCTACTGCCAGGTAGGAGTGCACTCACTATCAGTTCTGTCCTTTTCCATATAACCTCTTTCTGGAAGTCAGTTTATATGAAATGTTTAATATGCTCATGCAACAACTCTATTTGCTTTTTGCAGGCCAGAAGAAAGTTTAGAGGTGGACCATTCTGTTATCTACTCCACTGTTGCCAAACCTGAAGCATGAACATATCCTTTCATAATATTGAATAAACTAAGCTGCATTGGAATGCAAGTTAAGATATGTAAAGTATGCAATTAATAAGTAGTTATGGTAATAGATGTACAGTGGGGAGAACAAGTATTTGATACACTGCCGATTTTGCAGGTTTTCCTGTAATTTTCTGTAATTTTTATCATAGGTACACTTCAACTGTGAGAGACGGAATCTAAAACAAAAATCCAGAAAATCACATTGTATGATTTTTAAGTAATTAATTTGCATTTTATTGCATGACATAAGTATTTGATCACCTACCAACCAGTAAGAATTCCGGCTCTCACAGACCTGTTAGTTTTTCTTTAAGAAGCCCTCCTGTTCTCCACTCATTACCTGTATTAACTGCACCTGTTTGAACTCGTTACCTGTATAAAAGACACCTGTCCACACACTCAATCAAACACTCCAACCTCTCCACAATGGCCAAGACCAGAGAGCTGTGTAAGGACATCAGGGATAAAATTGTAGACCTGCACAAGGCTGGGATGGGCTACAGGACAATAGGCAAGCAGCTTGGTGAGAAGGCAACAACTGTTGGCGCAATTATTAGAAAATGGAAGAAGTTCAAGATGACGGTCAATCAACCTCGGTCTGGGGCTCCATGCAAGATCTCTCCTCGTGGGGCATCAATGATCATGAGGAAGGTGAGGGATCAGCCCAGAACTACACGGCAGGACCTGGTCAATGACCTGAAGAGAGCTGAGACCACAGTCTCAAAGAAAACCATTAGTAACACACTACGCCGTCATGGATTACAATTCTGCAGCGCACGCAAGGTCCCCCTGCTCAAGCCAGCGCATGTCCAGGCCCGTCTGAAGTTTGCCAATGACCATCTGGATGATCCAGAGGAGGAATGGGAGAAGGTCATGTGGTCTGATGAGACAAAAATAGAGCTTTTTGGTCTAAACTCCACTCGCCGTGTTTGGAGGAAGAAGAAGGATGAGTACAACCCCAAGAACACCATCCCAACCGAGAAGCATGGAGGTGGAAACATCATTCTTTGGGGATGCTTTTCTGCAAAGGGGACAGGACGACTGCACCGTATTGAGGGGAGGATGGATGGGGCCATGTATCGCGAGATCTTGGCCAACAACCTCCTTCCCTCAGTAAGAGCATTGAAGATGGGTCATGGCTGGGTCTTCCAGCATGACAACGACCCGAAACACACAGCCAGGGCAACTAAGGAGTGGCTCCGTAAGAAGCATCTCAAGGTCCTGGAGTGGCCTAGCCAGTCTCCAGACCTGAACCCAATAGAAAATCTTTGGAGGGAGCTGAAAGTCCGTATTGCCCAGCAACAGCCCCGAAACCTGAAGGATCTGGAGAAGGTCTGTATGGAGGAGTGGGCCAAAATCCCTTCTGCAGTGTGTGCAAACCTGGTCAAGACCTACAGGAAACGTATGATCTCTGTAATTGCAAACAAAGGTTTCTGTACCAAATATTAAGTTCTGCTTTTCTGATGTATCAAATACTTATGTCATGCAATAAAATGCAAATGAATTACTTAAAAATCATACAATGTGATTTTCTGGATTTAGATTCCGTCTCTCACAGTTGAAGTGTATATATGATAAAAATTACAGACCTCTACATGCTATGTAACTAGGAAAACCTGCAAAATCGGCAGTGTATCAAATACTTGTTCTCCCCTCTGTATATGTCTTGTACTGTACTGTACTTGTAATGTATGTGTCTCAGGTGTGACGATGAGTTTCCGTTGCTTGTGCATGTTTCTATCTTTCTAATTGAATGATTGCTCCTGTAATTTCATTGGATGACTGTTTCTTTTTTGGTTTGAGGTGTGGCCGCCCGGGGGAAGGTGCTGGTAAGAGGGAAGTGGCCATGTGGCTGGTTTAGTTTGTAACTATCTGACTAAATTTGAGAGAATATTGTTGATTTATCTTGAATGGAAGTTGAATTAATGTTTTGTTAGATCTTCCCTCGGCTGCACCAGAACCTGTATTTTTGGTTGTTTAGTTTGTTTGTTTTATTAATTATGTACTGTTATGACCTCCTTTTTGACCAGGCTGAGAGAGTCTCAGTAATTCAGTTTGTATTCACTAGTGGAGGATTTAAAAAGAAATTGACCTTGCAACCTGTTGTTGACTTCTTTATTTTGACACTCAACCCAAACTTGAAGAACCTGTGTATAATATATGATGGGCAAAACTCAACCTGGGGTGGCGTAGTGACATATGCCATTTTTGTGTTATACATACAGTATCTTGATTATTACATGGATTTGTTATGATAAACTTTTATGTAATTGTAATTCAATTTATATATTTACATATATGGAAACTAATCTCTAGTTGTCGTTTCACTTTTGGTCATCCAATACTCAACAACTCTCCATCATAAAGGAAGTAAATTACAGTAGGCCTATTACAGTAAAATGTCTTATTTTCTACAGTAGAGAGATGAAATGTGGTGTACAGTACATGCTACAGATATTACTGTACATGTTTTTTAAAGAAAATGGGATTTAGGGCTGGATACAGCTACACAACAGTGCTACTGTGTGGCAGTAAACTGGGTACAACATCTCCCAGCAGAGTTAATTCAGTTCCTTTTCAGTTCCTGCTAATTTAAGTGTCTCATTTGTTATGGTCATCCTTGATGTAATATTATGGTAACGGCTGCTGGATGGTGGTCTCTGTAAGACTGTAACCTGGTTGACTTGATGCCGGGAGAGTTTTCCTATAGGGGAAAGTTGTTATAGATCAGACCTTATCGTTTCATAAACTTGGTATATTGACTTTGTTTTCTAGTGGAGATTCTCTGTTTTGGTTGATATAATGTTTTCTGCTATTACTCCACTAAACTTATCAGATGGAAGACTACAAAACATTTAATAGACAATATAAAGTTATACTGTAAATATCAAATGAAAAGTAAACTCTCAAGGGTAAAGGAGTTGTAGAATAATTATATACAGCACAAACCAATACCTAAAGAGATTACAGATCACATCACTGTAATATTTACTCTTAAACGTATTGTAACTTTTTCACTCACCTCCTAATGCAAACCACTGTTATAATGATGATCAGTGTCAGAGTGATGGGGATCCCCACTGTCACCAACCCCCACAGTATGGGGGACAGACCATTTACTGCAGAGAAGAAACTACTGTGAGCTCTATAGGCCAGGGATAGCTTCACACTGGTGTACATACTGTCATTTGTTTCAATGGCAAATTTACAATAACAGGTGGCATAATCTTGATGTTATATTACAGACTAGACTAGAACAGGAAACATACTGTATATTTTCAATGCATCCCCTTGCACCTACTTTTCCCCACAGTCATGGTAACAGTAGAGCTCTGTGATCTATGCTTGTTCACCGCTACACAGCAGTACTTCCCACTGTCCTCATAGCTGATGTTAGTGATGCTGTAACTCTGCCCTGACCCTCTCAGTGAAGCTTGGGATTTTGTCCTCTGAAGCCAGGTGTAACGCTCTACTGCAGGGTTGGCATCACTGCTGCAGGTCAGAGTCACAGAGCTGCCCATCACTACCTCCCCAAAAGGATTGACTGACACTGATGTGTGCTTTGGAGCATCTGAAGGCAGAGAAAGGTAAAACAAACAAAAAAAGAAGAAAAAAAAAGAAGAAAGAAGCTACTTTTACAGTATGGTTTCCTATATTTGGGTAACAATGAGAGATGTCTGGTACATACTTCCCTGTCTAAGTGGATCCCAAAAAACTCATGACAAACAGTGTTACTGATTCATTCATTGTCTCTGTGATTGGGATTTTAAAGTACTTACACTGGACATGAATAGACAACGCTGAGGAGTGGAGCGGTCTATTGGTGGTCAGGGCCTCACAGTAGTAGTTTCCACTGTCTGTTGCGCTGATGTTGGTGATGGTCATCGTCTGTCCCTTATCACCAGCCGTGTAGCCTCCAGTCTTGTACCAGGTGTAGCTCTCCACTGGAGGGTGGGCAGTACTACAGCAGAATAACGTCACTGAGCTGCCCTCAACAACATCACCAGAGGGACTGAGGGACACTGCTACTTCACTGGAATGATCTGAAAGTAGACAAGAGATGTGTAAGCAATAAGACATACCAGACAGATAACAGGCGAAGGGCACACAGATCAGAGAGACACAAGCCTTTTTATCATCAGACTATTTCTCTTATCCTGTTTTAAATGTAAATACACTGAAGCGTATATCCATATGTTGTTGCTGTGTTTGTAGTGATGGTTGTCTGGGTATTGGGGGCGGGTGGTCACCCAAATAAACAATTCCAAGCTGACAGTCAAGACCATGTGACTTTCTGCTATAATTTCGCAATTTTTGCATACAGTCGTTGTGGTCGTAGGACATGCCACCATACCATCAGGTTTTAAAGTGTAATAACCTCTTAGTTACAAAAGAACTCTCACTGTTGTTGTCAACAGCTGGTACTGTACATACAGATATCAATAGCACTGTCACTATTACTCCGAGAGACTTTCAGTAAGTAAATGAGAAAATGAGTAAATATTGAGACATTGACAAACTTCCAGAGGAAGTGTAAGAACACTATGAGACTCTCTGAATCATGTAATCATACTGAAAAGAGGAAGCAATGGCTCCTCTCCTCAGAGTGACTCAGAAATTACGGTGACATCAATTTCAGTCCAACCTCTGAGGCTTGTGGTCAGACCTGATCTCTGTGCAGACAAGCTGGAAGCTGACCACATCTTTAACAGCTCTCCTATTCTCATGAGTCAAATAGTTACACACTAAATGTATGTACAGGAAACAACCTCGAATGCTGATATTAAATGTTTGTGTTTTGAACATATAACAATGCAGTTACAGCATCCCTCCTTTATCATATAGTATGTCAGTTGCAGTGGTGATTTTAGCATGTAAATCTTGGTGGGGAAAACTCAACATTTTACATTTACGTCATTTAGCAGACGCTCTTATCCAGAGCGACTTACAGTTAGTGAGTGCATACATTTTCATACTGGCCCCTCGTGGGAATCGAACCCACAACCCTGGCGTTGCAAACGCCATGCTCTACCAACTGAGCTACAGAGGGCAACCTCTTTTTTTTATGCACTACACAACACAACACTAAACAATACATTAATTGCACTATAACGATGACAAACGGTGCCCACAAACTGTTAGGGCCTACATAAAGCTGTCCCAACAGCAGAGATTTATTTTCAGCACCATGGAGTGAATCCTTACCACCGCTACACCTGGCTATCAGCGGAGCCGTTGTTTGGCAGCGAAACAGCTCATTCAGCCTAATTTACTGCCTTTTTAAAAAACATAGCTGATATGGCTGACTTGCTTAAACAAATGTGGTTTCTACTGACATTTGAGATCTACAAACTATGGCATAAGTGAACGATGAGTGGATAAGAGGCAATCCGTAATTTCGATTAAGACATTAATGAGCGAGCTAAGATGGACGTAGTCAATATAACTATTTGTTCAGCACTTTTGAAATGTACAGTAACAGAATTCAGAACATGGGCCATTCTGACAGTATTCTCCCTGTACACCAAGTCAGAACTGTAGGATAAATAAAGGGGGCATATAAGCAGACAATGAAAGCTCTTACAATATTTGATGATGACATTTCTCTAAAATATGCTATATGCTACATGTGCACCACCAAATCAGAACAGTAGGCTAAGTTATGTGGGGGAAAGGGACCAAATTATTAGGGTGAGGAACATGGGCTACTAACAGCTTACTACACAACATACACTTTGAAAAAAGTGTCGAATCATGACGTCAGTGATCTTCAGGTTGGAGCTCTAGAAAGAGGCCCGAGTTCCCGACTTGGATTTCCGAGTTGGATGACCGTTGAAAGCGTATTTTCCCAGTCGGAGCTCGTTTTTTTCAGAGTTCCCAGTTGTCTTGAACTCACTGAAGTCTGAGATTTCCCAGTTCCGAGTTTCCAGTTGTTTTGAACGCGGCAGAAGTCATGCTGGATTGACAGCATGGCCAATGTATTCAACCTTTTCTGGCCCATGGTGTTCCATGTGAATGTTTATCCTTTTAAGCTTGGAAAAGAGACCTTTAAACTCAGACTTGAACCATACACCCTCTCCACTGAATAGCAGGCTAGTGATTGCTTTGCAATGCTTACAGTTAGCCACTAATTCCTTCCAAACCACTCATTGTTGAATTTGCAATTTCCAACTTGTTATGTTTATGTCCAATGGCCGATGAGCACCGGTACGTTTTATATATAATTTCTCTTCATTTTGAAAAGGACTTGCCAGTAGATTGTCGACTTGATTCATGACGATGACTGCTTATCTAGCTTGCTAGCTAAGATTTTGAAAGTATGATGTTGACATGATCAGTCCAATCAAAGCTTCCATAGAACATTTTTTATTTGACATCATTTTATCTGTAGCCAATGAACTTGAGCCTTCTTGGATGGGCACTTCTAATGTAAATTTAAGGGGCTTGAATTTTCGAGCTCTCCCCTGTAGATTTGCTGTGATGTAGTTTCACCATGGGTGACAAAACACTGAGGCAATCACGGCACAACTAGAGAACATTACCAACCCCTACGCACTGTATTTTCCGCTGTCTGCCCCACCACCACAGAAAGTACTGAGCTAGGCTGAAACACCTGCATTTTGGAGCTGCATTACTCAAGAAAGCAAAAAAGAGACCATGTACAGTTGAAGTTGGAAGTTTACATACACCTTAGCCAAATACATTTAAACTCAGTTTTTTCATAATTCCTGACATTTAATCCTAGTACAAATTCCCTGTCTTAGGTCAGTTAGGATCACCACTTTATTTTAAGAATGTGAAATGTCATAATAATAGTAGAGAGAATTATTTATTTCAGCTTTTATTTCTTTCATCACATTCCCAGTGGGTCAGAAGTTTACATACACTCAATTAGTATTTGGTAGCATTGCCTTTAAATTGTTTATCTTGGGTCAAACATTTTGGGTAGCCTTACACAAGCTTCCCACAATAAGTTGGGTGAATTTTGGCCCATTCCTCCTGACAGAGCTGGTGTAACTGAGTCAGGTTTGTAGGCCTCCTTGCTCGCACACACTTTTTCAGTTCTGCCCACAAATGTTGTATAGGATTGAGGTCAGGGCTTTGTGATGGCCACTCCAATACCTTGACTTTGTTGTCCTTAAGCCATTTTGCCACAACTTTGGAATTATGCTTGGGGTCATTGTCGATTTGGAAGACCCATTTGCGACCAAGCTTTAATTTCCTGACTGATGTCTTGAGATGTTGCTTCAATATATCCACATAATTTTCCTTCCTCATGATGTCATCTATTTTGTGAAGTGCACCAGTCCCTCCTGCAGCAAAGCACCCCCACAGCATGATGCTGCCACCCCCGTGCTTCACGGTTGGGATGGTGTTCTTCGGCCCCCACCCCCCCCCGTTTTTCCTCCAAACATAACGATGGTCATTATGGCCAAACAGTTCTATTTTTGTTTCATCAGACCAGAGGACATTTCTCCAAAAAGTACGATCTTTGTCCCCATGTGCAGTTGCAAATCGTAGTCTGGCTTTTATTTATCTTCCTTGCTGAGCGGCCTTTCAGGTTATGTCGATATAGGACTCGTTTTACTGTGGATATAGATACTTTTGTACCTATTTCCTCCAGCATCTTCACAAGGTCCTTTGCTGTTGTTCTGGGATTGATTTGCACTTTTCGCACCAAAGTACGTTCATTTCTCGGACACAGAATGCGTCTCCATCCTGAGCGGTATGACGTCTGCGTGGTCCCATGGTGTTTATAGTTGCGTACTATTGTTTGTACAGATGAACGTGGTACCTTCAGGCATTTGGAAATTGCTCCCAAGGATGAACCAGACTTGTTGAGGTCTACAATTTTCTTTCTGAGGTCTTGGCTGATTTCTTTAGATTTTCTCATGTCAAGCAAAGAGGCACTGAGTTTGAAGGTAGGCCTTGAAATACGTCCACAGGAACACCTCCAATTGACCCAAATGATGTCAATTAGCCTATCAGAAGCTTCTAAAGCCATGATATCATTTTCTGGAATTTTCCAAGCTTTTTATAGGCACAGTCAACTTAGTGTATGTAAACTTCTGACCCACTGGAATTGTGATACAGTGAATTATAAGTGAAATAATCTGTCTGTAAACAGTTGTTGGAAAAATTACTTGTGTCATGCACAAAGTAGATGTCCTAACCGACTTGCCAAAACTATAGTTTGTTAACAAGACATTTGTGGAGTGGTTGAAAAACGAGTTTTAATGACTCCAACCTAAGTGTATGTAAACTTCCGACTTCAACTGTATGTATGCGGCTTTATTAACTCAATGCGGCTTTATTAAATCGCCACTGCTCAGTTGCTATCTACATATAATCACTGACCACAAGACATATTTACACAAGAACATTTACACAAAATATATGTCAAAAAAGCACTGTGGTCTTACCAGACACTAGCAGGGTTACTCCAGGCTGTCCAGGAGGCTTCTCCACTGGGTGGTTGGTGATAAAGTAGAATACATACAGTGGGGGGAAAAAGTATTTAGTCAGCCACCAATTGTGCAAGTTCTCCCACTTAAAAAGATGAGAGAGGCCTGTAATTTTCATCATAGGTACACGTCAACTATGACAGACAAATTGAGAAGAAAAAAATCCTGAAAATCACATTGTAGGATTTTTAATGAATTTATTTGTAAATTATGGTGGAAAATAAGTATTTGGTCACCTACAAACAAGCAAGATTTCTGGCTCTCACAGACCTGTAACTTCTTCTTTAAGAGACTCCTCTGTCCTCCACTCGTTACCTGTATTAATGGCACCTGTTTGAACTTGTTATCAGTATAAAAGACACCTGTCCACAACCTCAAACAGTCACACTCCAAACTCCACTATGGCCAAGACCAAAGAGCTGTCAAAGGACACCAGAAACAAAATTGTAGACCTGCACCAGGCTGGGAAGACTGAATCTGCAATAGGTAAGCAGCTTGGTTTGAAGAAATCAACTGTGGGAGCAATTATTAGGAAATGGAAGACATACAAGACCACTGATAATCTCCCTCGATCTGGGGCTCCAGGCAAGATCTCACCCCATGGGGTCAAAATGATCACAAGAACGGTGAGCAAAAATCCCAGAACCACACGGGGGGACCTAGTGAATGACCTGCAGAGAGCTGGGACCAAAGTAGCAAAGCCTACCATCAGTAACACACTACGCCGCCAGGGACTCAAATCCTGCAGTGCCAGATGTGTCCCCCTGCTTAAGCCAGTACATGTCCAGGCCCGTCTGAAGTTTGCTAGAGTGCATTTGGATGATCCAGAAGAGGATTGGGAGAATGTCATATGGTCAGATGAAACCAAAATATAACTTTTTGGTAAAAACTCAACTCGTCGTGTTTGGAGGACAAAGAATGCTGAGTTGCATCCAAAGAACACCATACCTACTGTGAAGCATGGGGGTGGAAACATCATGCTTTGGGGCTGTTTTTCTGCAAAGGGACCAGGACGACTGATCCGTGTAAAGGAAAGAATGAATGGGGCCATGTATCGTGAGATTTTGAGTGAAAACCTCCTTCCATCAGCAAGGGCATTGAAGATGAAACGTGGCTGGGTCTTTCAGCATGACAATGATCCCAAACACACCGCCCGGGCAATGAAGGAGTGGCTTCGTAAGAAGCATTTCAAGGTCCTGGAGTGGCCTAGCCAGTCTCCAGATCTCAACCCCATAGAAAATCTTTGGAGGAAGTTGAAAGTCCGTGTTGCCCAGCGACAGCCCCAAAACATCACTGCTCTAGAGGAGATCTGCATGGAGGAATGGGCCAAAATACCAGCAACAGTGTGTGAAAACCTTGTGAAGACTTACAGAAAACGTTTGACCTGTGTCATTGTCAACAAAGGGTATATAACAAAGTATTGAGAAACTTTTGTTATTGACCAAAAACTTATTTTCCACCATAATTTGCTAATAAATTCATAAAAATTCCTACAATGTGATTTTCTGGAGAAAAAAAAATCATTTTGCCTGTCATAGTTGACGTGTACCTATGATGAAAATTACAGGCCTCTCTCATCTTTTTAAGTGGGAGAACTTGCACAATTGGTGGCTGACTAAATACTTTTTTTCCCCACTGTATGTCCCGCTATCAGACTTCCTCAGATCAGAGATCCTCAGGGAGCAGTTCCTGGTTCCTTCCTTCCCCAGGTACTCCACCCTGCCCTGGGAGGCTGGCTCAGGGAAGATACCCTGGCTATGGTACACATACCTGGGGGTGATGCAGCGGCTCTGGTCCCGGCACCACATCTCAAACAGCACCCTGTAGGGCTGAGGGTAGTCGTAGAAGCAGGGGAGGACCACAGACGAGCCGGCCACGGCACACAGGGGAGTGGAGGGGACACGCACAGCCCAGTCACTACAGAGGACACCCACACAGCAGCCTGGGATTCAAGAAATGAATGAATATGATTTACAATACAATACTTTGTATGTCTATTCACATACCATGATAAAAGTGTGTTCCGTATGATAATGATGAATATGATGTCAGTTTTACCTTGCAGGATAAGTGAGAGAAGCCTCATCCAGCCAGTCTGGAAGACTCCCAAAGCCATCTCTGACGCTCCTCCACTCCCTTACTCACTGTACTCCTTTACATTAGCAGCGAAGACCTCGACCGCGTCTGTCTTTCTGTCTGTCTGTTCGCTCACTCACTTCTCTTTTACTTAACTAGGAACTGGTCAAGGACATTGAGAAAAGCAGTGACATTATAAGCCTGCAACAAAAAGCCAAGGCACTGTTGCTGGCTTTTAATGTCACTGTCTCTAAACAAGACAGAGCTTGTTTTTTGGTTCTGTCTATTTAGACCTTGTTTACAATGAGCATCCAGTATATGCAGATCTATGCGTTTACCTCTGACCGTTCTACCTACAGACCTGTCTAGCTCCAATCTTATCCCAACCCCTTGTGTACACCCTATAGTTTAGACATTAATGTTGCATGGACCAACCTGGACCAACCTGTGGCATGGTGTAAGCCTAGAACTGGCCAACCCATGCCTCAACTTCAATGCACTTTGGTCTATTGCACCTGGAACATTACCTGAACTTAACACATACATTTGAAACTAGGAAACGATAAATCAATTGAAGGGGTTGTTAACAGTTACACTTGATTAACCATGGTCTTTAAAAACAAAGGGCTTTAAACCTGTGCTCTGCTCTGCAGGTGCCATTTGACCGATATCTCATGACGTCACATGTATGTTACTTGGCTGTTTCTAAAATGCTATGAGCGCAGAACCGGGAGTTGAACTAGTCGAACTGCTGAGCGGTCCTGTTTTTACAGAAAAAACAACTGTGTAAATACATTGATAGCTACACGTTTTATCTATCGGAAATTATATTTTAGTTTTAGTTTTGAACGGAGAACGGTTTTCTTTCGCAGAAGGGGGGAAAGTTTTTTTCGTACTCTTTGTAGCCATACAACCACTTGTCGAAGTATTGGGAATATCCATGACAGCCTATTCATACTGCTACCCCGGAGGGAACAGTGAGCATCGAGAGTAATCGCTGAGATTGTAACTTCATTTTTGACAAGCAGTCAAACACCTGTTGCAAAAGAGAGGTGAGTGCTCTGAGAATGGTGTGGATTTTGAGTAACCTAATACTCTGTAATTTGAAAGCATGTGAGTTGTTTTTTATCATGAAAATACCTATGGAAAAGTAACAGTTACATTCTGTCCAGTGTTCACATCTCAGGGTGAGTTTATCGATATAAAAGGGATGTAGGCCTAATTATTCTATGCTGAATGGTAGGACTATTGGTAGCTAGCTAGTATGCACACTGGGGAGAAACAGCATATCCTAATTCTGTGGTAAATGACAATATAGGTACCACTCATTAGTAGAGACATGTTTATTACACATTTATTCCATAGAAAATAACAATTTCCCCTTCAGCCTGGACTATTAGTCAAATCTGCTCAAAACAACTCACTTTGCCCTTTGGTTTATTTAACTTGTTTAACCCACCTCTCTCCAGTCTAACAGTTTATTAACGTTCATGTTCTGCTCTATCTTTTTATACAGGCTGGGAATAAGACTGGGTGGCAAGTTGACCACCACAGGAGCTGTGAAGGAGGGCCACTCTGAACTTCAGCTACCTCTTTTTATTTTGTACTTTTGAGCGAGGAAAAATGACTGAGAAAAAGAACGGTGAGTGTTCCACACACATCCAGACATTGTGCTTGCCACATTTTTTTCCCTCTATATTTGACATCAGACATCAGAAGAACTCAGTGTTAAAGATTAATAGAACTGGCCACTGCTTGCTGTTTGATGGGGTAAGCTACCTTTTGTGGTGTTGAGTTTGTGATCTAGATTAGGAACCTTTTAAATATGGCTTTTTTCATACAGTCTGTTTTTGCCAAAGATGTTTCAAATCATTTAGCTTTCATTAAAGGACACACACTCTTAGAAAAAAAGGTGCTATCTAGAAACTACAAGGGTTATTCGGCTGTCCCCATAGGGGAACGTGTTGAAGAACCCTTTTTGGTTCCAGGTGAACCCTGTTGGTTCCAGGTAGAACCCTATTGGGTTCTATGTAGAAATCTTTCCCCAGAGGGTTCTACATGGAACCCAAAAGTGTTCTACCTGGAAGCAAAAAGGGTTCTACCTGGAACCTAAAAGGGTTCTCCTATGGGGACAGCCAATAAGAGTGCAGTGATACTTTATCCATGCGTCTTTGATTCTGTTTAGCAAAAACTTTGAGTATTTATTATTATCTATAACACAAGGAACCTCTTTTATTATCTAATTGGGGGGTCTAGAGTTCTTTCAGAATGGAGAACGTTATCCTTCACCATTATCACTCATTTAACAATGTTTACTAAATCCAGTGGGTTCTAGCATTCACTTCATTTTACTGTTCCTTTTGGACTTCTCAGCTGTCTCTCCTTCAGTTGTAGTGGCAGACCATAAACCTTATTTAACAACTCTCTATCTTTATGACACTGTAATGTCTTGTGTGATTATGTTTAGGGAATGACAGATATGATAAGGGCCCAAGTGTACCTAGCTTGGAACCTCATCAACCTTGTGAAATGTTTTTTGACTGCTCATATCAGTATTTCTGTTATCTAATTATCACTAGTAGTAGGTGGTCCCAATCATGATCTTTACTCAATATTTTGAAAGCTATACCTGTATGTACTGATAAATAATCAAAACAGTGGTAATAACAAGGGTACAGTTATCTTGAGTTTAACATATTTTTTAGACCACAGTTATGCTGTTGGCGTTTTACCAGACATAGCATCATTGATTGTGTGGCTTTTAATTTGGAGAATTAGAAGTACTCCTGAATTCTCAAGCATGGACACTTCCGTGTGTCTTGTAGAGAGATGCTCACCAGGACTCTCTGACATTTCTATGTTTCAATGTAAAGCCATTGTCAAACCTGAGTCACCATCCAATGAACAACATCTCAGTCTCCTTCTAGCAGAAACAGTTACAGCATGACTGGTGATTGTTGTGTGGTCTGGTTTCGTTTTGGTCTGGGTTGAGTTGTGGGCTCATGTGTAAAACACTGTGGTTTCTATCTGTGGTTTAGTTGCTGAAACTGCTGGTCTGTGGCATTCCATGACTCTTGATGTGTGAGACATTTTAGTTACTTCATGTAGTGGACAGTCACAGTTCTGAAACAGATGTAGCTTTATGAAATGTTCTTTCTATTGTGAAATGAGGCAGAAGACCTTCTTCCTGAGAGAGACACAAGGGAATGAACTAGGCCTTTCACCTTATAGAAGTATCTCCCTTCAGTTAAGGAGACATGTATTTCCCTACACACAGAGTGTACTCAGGTAGAGGCTAAAACAATAGCAGGGCTTGTTCTCCAGCTCCAGGCCTGTGACTCCAGGATCCACTGGAGTGAGTTTAGGAAATGTGGAGCTTTCCTGGAACCAGCAGCTGGAACACTGGAAGGGAGACTGGCCTGAGATAAAGTCAGCGCTTAGACAAGGTCTGCTTATGTCAAAAAGATATGTGGTCCCTTCCTCACCCCTGTCATTACAGAGAGTCCTGGGCAGGAACAGTAACACATTAATGTACTGATACAGCCTCACATGACATAGGTGGATGGGTTTGGGATGGGTTTTGTGGTCGTGGAAAGTTTTTGTTAGAAGTAGAATGTCTCCTCAAAATCAACAAGGTTGAGAATCGCTTTTGTACGGAGAAGGAATGTTCTAATTTAAATCTGTATTGCAGGGTTCTCCAAATCCGGTTCTGCAACGTGACTGGGTGTGCAGGGTTTTGCTCTAGCCCATACCTGTTTCAAACAATCAACTAATCATGGTCCTCATGTGTGTTAGTGCTGGCTGGACCAAAATCCAGCACACCCATGAGCCAGTGTATCTTATGGCTCCAGACTAATGTCTGGAAAAGTCCTTGAATCAGCAGCCTATAACATGTGCTGAGTCAGGGTTCTCTGGGGTTGCCATAGGTGACTGCACCAAAACTGCTGTTATTGTTTGAAAATAGTCCATTTTAGTATATAATGTACAGTCATCACACTAACAGAGCTTCACTGTATGTTATGCAGGTCAACTGTGTGTTTTAAAAACCGTACAGTATACAAAAGCCTACAAATTCAGGATACATTTTTACATCTTCATTTTCACTGTGTTAAATAGTGACAGTACTTGATGTTATTATTTTAACGCTATCTCAGTAAAAACCCATGTATCTTATTGTTGATGGATGTTCCACACTGATAGACAGTGGTGAGTAAGGGAAAAAAGTGGAGGATTACCCCATCACTCTATGAAGAGCCATCAGCTGCCTGTAAACTGTGCCCATATCCTGAGGTAGTGCGTACAGACGGCAGACCCCATGGCCTTACAGGACCCCCAGTGTTTTCTCCCTGAATTTGAGTCTCCCTCATTTGTGTGCAATGTTGATTTTCCTCTCTTTTAATTGGTATCAGGAGTATCAGGTTGACGCTTGTTTCCCTGCATAAGGTATAACGGGAAAAAGTGTTATGTTATTGATAAGAAACATGCTCATCCGGCAGGCTCTTCTTCTACAGCTAGCTATGGTGATCCAGGTAGTGGGCGGCAGGTAGCCTAGCGGTTAAGAGCATTGGTAACCAAAATGCCGCTAGTTCAAATCCCCGAGCCGACTAGGTGAAAAATCTGTCTGTGCCCTTGAGCAAGGCATTTAACCCTAAGTCGCTCTGGATAAGAGCATCTGATAAATGACTAAAATTTAAAATGTTAAATATAGTGCAACTGTTTGTGTTGTTGGTGTCGAATGGTTGAATAATGTCTTCACTATTGGGCATGTATTGATGTTTGTATGTAGGAGATTGTTCCTAAGTGTCCGTCAGACTAGTGTATTGCCCACATAGCTAGGGCCACGTGACCAGATCAGTAAAACGTCTTGGCCCTATAGCATACATAAAGACTTGTGTATACCTACAAAGTAATAACAGATTTATAGACCTGTGTATTACCTACATGTGTGTTAGACGTGAGTTGGATCCACACACAGACTGTGTGTTTGTTTGCGCTGAGTCAGGAGCTTATCATGCCTTGCAGTCAGTCAGTCACTCAGTGTTTCTGCTGGTCTGCTCTGCTGGGCTGGTCTGGTGTGTGGCAGGTCTCCACACAGGCTGAAGCTGGCTGGCCGGCCTGCACGGTTAATGATCACTCCAAAACTCCACTCTCTGCGCCTCAGCTACCTGCCTGCAAACACAGCAGATGTACGCATGTTACCTGTGTGTGTGTGTGTTTGGTTTTACTATCCTTGTGGGGACGTGAAGTCCTCACAAGGATAGTAAAACAAGGAAAATCCGGACAAGTGGGGACATTTCGCCGGTCCCCACAAGGAAAAAGGCTTTTGTAGGCTTAGGGGTTAGATTTAGGATTAGCGTTAAAATTAGGGTTAGGGTTAGAATTACGGTTAGGGGTTAGGAGTTAGGGTTAGGTTTAGTTTTAGGGTTAGTGTTTTGGTGTTAAGGTTAGGGTTAAGGTTAGGGTTAGGTTTAGGGTTAGGGTTTAGGGAAAGTAGGATTGTGTGTGTGTGTGTGTGTGTGTGTGTGTGTGTGTGCGGTGCATTAGTGTGTCTCACACGTGTGACGTAAGTTGTAAACGGTGGTTGAATAATCAAGTGTGGCTTTGTTTTGGTTCAACCAAACTTTAAAAGTTAGTGACTGGTCAGTTCATGGACCTTTCATAATCATCAGTAATTTAATGTAATGAACTGACCTCTCATTCTGCCCAACCTTGTGTTCTAGCTAGGGACACAGTGACAATTTGTTGGGGCTCGAGATGGCACTGAAATCAAGCCTGCAGTTTGTTTTAGCTCTATGGAAATGGAGCAGACTTTGGACTATTGATCCTATTCATTTGTACTTTTTCAATGTGCCAGTGTGTTATTATGGCACTCTCTTTTCCTTTTCACCTATCTGATTAAAACACTTTTCTTCTTCAAGATGTTCAAACGTTCACTGTGGCCCTTTCCAAAGTTACCCCCGGACAAGTCCAACCAGGCAGGATATTACCCCACCCACTTTGCCAAAGCACAGCCCCCATACCACCAAAGGGATATCAACAGACCACTAACTTACTACCCTGAGACAAGGCCGAGTGTAGCCCACGAAGATCTCACTCACCGCACGAGCCCGAGGGGGCGCAAAACCGGACAGAAAGATCACGTCAGTGACTCAACCCACTCAGGTCGAGTATAGCGAAAAAAGCCTGGCACGATGTGATGCACCCCTCCTAGGGACGGAATGGGAGAGCGCAAGCAAGCCAGTGACTCAGCCCCCGTAATTGGGTCAGAGGCAGAGAATCCCAGTGGAGAGAGGGAAGCCCGCCAGGCAGAGACAGCAAGGGTGGTTCGTCATTCCAGTGCCTTGCCGTTCACCTTCACACCCCTGGGCCAGACGACCCTCAGTGTGAAGCTGAACGTAATGGTATGTTTTTGTTGTGTGTGTTGTCTTTTACAGGAAGTCCGGGGATTTCTCTCCCGGGAAGCGCGGGGGTGACCTTCCTGACCCCATGTCGCGTGGCGGGCGTGTGTCTGACCGTGGTGCTACTGGGGGGGATTGGAGCTGCTGTCTGGGCTGTAGGTGAGAGACCTCTGCTTCTGCTCTCACATAGTAGTGATGTGTACCTTTTGGCAATGTGCAGTGCTTTATGGGTAATGTAGTTTTAGTTTTTCCATAGTACAGACAGAGACGGAAGAGGAAGCGAGACATCCCACTCCCTCATTTTTTTTCTGTTTCAATGGAAGTCAATTAACTAAGTACACCAGAACCAGCTGCTATCACATTGGTGTCTATGGGAGAGCCACCCCCTTAAGTAGACAGGAACTGACCATTTATTTCAATGGTAAACAACCTGAATGAACTATCTTAATTTATCCTCCATCTTTGGTACAAATATTACCAACATTGTTTGATTGCAGTCAGTGGATTTGTTTGCAGGCTCTGTGAGGTTTGCTGTTTCATCAACAGAGTGTGTATGCACTTTACAGTTTTATATTACATGTTGTTGACTTTTGTTTGTTTCTTTGTTTTTCAAATCCTAGTAACGTTTTGTATCCGAGAAGAAGACACAGGATTATATGATGGTAAGTGAGAGGGAAACCACTTCACCAAAGCCAACCTCATATAGTATCTGAATCGATAGAAGGGCTTGTTTGATCTAGTATTTCATTGCTCCACCCCAGTCCAGGTGAACTCCAATCCAAGCTCGGATCTACGTCTCCGGGTGTTTGACTCGGCCCAGCGACGGTGGAGACACGTCTGTTCCTCAGAGGCCAACCAGCTCCTGGCCAACATAAGCTGTGAGGAGATGGGCTTTGTCAGGTGAGGAGATTGATGGATTGTGATAAGAAAGGCTTTAGATTAAATACAAAAGTGGGAGTCACTATCTACAGCATCATAAAAGGATACCCCTATGCCATGCAAGAAGGCTGCACAGAAATTGCTCCACCCTTGCCTGGTTGCTAAAATTGTAATGGTTTGCCTAATTTCAGTTTATGGCCACAAAACAAGCAATGTATAGTTTAGATAATCTAAACAGCTGTGAAATACATTTAAAAAATATATATAAATTGTATTTTCAGCTGTTTGAAGCTGGTGTACAAAGCAGGGAAAAAAAAGAGGCGAAAACTAAACTTAAGGACAGGAAGCATAAAAATAGTGCATATAGAATGGATCTACCGCTTCTCCTACTTCCTTTCAATGAGAATGACAGATATATACCTCACAATGCTATGTGAATTTGGTTGGGTCACCCAAAAAGTTATACATACTGCACCTCTAAGTAACTTAATCGGGTTTAGGCCAGGGATCTTTCAACTGATCTGTCAGTGATAGAAGTCTCCTTAATAAAGAGATGCATGCTTTGTGTCCCCACCAGCGTGGTGAATTACTCCGTGTTCAGTATCCCTGAAGGCAGTAACGACCGTGAGGAGGTTTTCTGTGTCAAAGAGAAGGAGCTGACCTACGGCAAGAAGATCAAAGAGTCTCTATATCCCTGGTAAGACATTCTTATAACACTCTTATATCTCCTAGATCAGGGGTGTCAAACGTACGGCCCGCGGGCCGGATCAGGCCCGCAAACGGGTTTAATCCGGCCCGCGAGATGATTTAAAAAGAAAAAAAAAGAAAAATTATTATTATTAATTTTTTTTTTGTAAAGTATAAAGTATTTTTCAATAAAATAAACTGCTGTTCCAATTGCGTCCACTGGATGGCGCAATAGCAATTGTGTTAAGCAAGCAAACTGTTTATACCGGGGCAGAGCAAGTAGGTCAAGCACGTGCAGCCAATGAGCTACTTTGTTTTGCCCGCGATATTTATTACGGCTTCTACTTTTAACATTATGTGCTTTGGCACCCTCATTGCCCCAATATGTCTCTGTCAAAAAAGAGAAAAGTGGACGCAGAGTGCAGAGTGTTCCAAGAAAAATGGTCATCCTATTTATTCACGGAATTGAATGGGAAAGTTGTATGTTTGGTGTGTTCAGAGCATGTTGCAGTGCTGAAAGAATATAACCTTCGTCGCCACTATGTGAGTCTTCATGCCGACAAATATGACAACTTTCAAGGACAGCGGAGATGAGAGAAGGTGAATGAACTGTTGGCGGGTCTGAAGAAACAGCAGTCTGTGTTTACTCACAGCCGAGACATCAGTGACGCTGCAGTGAAAGCTAGCTACCTCATTGCTAATGAAATCGCAGTGGCTTCAAAACCATTTAGTGAGGGTGAATTTGTAAAAACATGCATGATGAAGGCAGCGGAGATTGTGTGCCCTGAAAAGCGGCAGGCTTTTGCAAATATCAGCCTGACAAGAAACACAGTTGCAGACAGGATTTCCGATCTTTCAGTGGATTTGGACAGCCAGTTGAAGCAAAAAGTAAAGTAATTTATTGCGTTTTCGGTTGCAATTGATGAAAGCACGGACATTACAGATGTTGCACAACTGGCCATTTTTTCATCCGCGGAGTTGATGACACATTGACCGTCACCGAGGAGTTCGTGGAGTTGGTGCCGATGACAGATACAACGACAGCAGCTGATATTTTTACCGCACTCGTCGGCGCGCTGGACAGGGTCAGAGTGGACTGGTCCCGCGCTGTCAGCCTGGCTACAGATGGTGCGCCCTCAATGATCGGGAAAAAAGCAGGCGTTGTGACAAAGTTCAGAGAGAAAGTGCAATCTGCAAATGGAGGACGTGATTTTTTGACTTTTCACTATATTTTGCACCAGGAGGCTTTGTGTTGCAAGTCATTAAAGATGGATAACGTCATGAAGGTGGTCATCCAAACTGTTAATTTCATCCGATCCAGAAGCCTGAATCACCGTCAGTTTGACAGCCTTCTCAGAGAGAAAGCACATCTATGGCCTGCCATACCACACTGAGGTAAGATGGTTAAGCCGAGGTGCTGTGCTGAGGCGTTTCTTTGATTAACGAGAAGAAATTGAACAGTTCATGGAAGAAAAGGGCAAACCAGTGTTAGAATTTCATTCCGCAGAATGGATGCCGGACCTTGCATTTATGGTGGATGTTACAGACCACCTGAATAACTTGAACAAACAGCTGCAAGGGCGCAACAAAGTTGTCACGCAGTATTATGACAGCATACGTTCTTTCAAGTTGAAGCTGTCATTGTGGGAGACGCAACTTGCCGGTGGTGATGCAGCTCACTTCCCCTGTCTGAAAAATGTGTGCGTGACCCAACATGTGGCAGACATGAAGCGGTTCAAAGATAAAATAACGGGACTGTTACGGGAGTTTGAGCAACGCTTTCAGATTTATGTTTATATGTTTTTATGTTGATGTGCTATTGTTTTTAATTGATTTTATTTTATTTGTATATTTAACCTATTCTTGACTCTGTGGTTCTTGCACTTGTTTGGGGAACAGGATTTCATTATTTTTATCTACATTTCTGCCTGAGAAATGACACCCTGATATAGTTCTGTGATCTGTGAAACAGTTCTGTTAATCACTGAGGCATTGTGTGTTTGTGTGTTCTTTTTCTTTAGAATTTTCAAATAAACTTGACGTGTTTTATGATTGATAGAGATGTTGTGCTTGTACTATTTTGGACACACTGTCCTCAGGCTCCAGCTTTATGTTGTATGTTGATCGTATTAAAACAAAGAAAACAATCTGAAGTTGTTGTTTTTAAGTTATATATACCATGATTTTTCCGGTCCGGCCCACTTGGGAATAGATTTTCCTCCATGTGGCCCCTGAGCTAAAATGAGTTTGACACCCCTGTCCTAGATGATTATCTTAAGGCCTTGTTTATTAAACTAGAGCTGGCTGAAAAGGAGAGAAGAGCAGGAATTCAGGGTTCCAGCCTGATGTGTCTGACTGTTGTTGCTGTTGTTGTTTTTCAGTGGCTGTGAAAGTGGCCAGGTTCTAAGTCTGCTTTGTCAAGGTAGGTACTGCTGAGAGCTTTGGTTTGGTCCTGACACCATGACACACTTTTTACACAAAGTGATGAAAAGCAACCTGAGAGTTGTACAGGATGGCTTAACTCTCTCTCTCTCCTGCATCTCTCTTTACTCATCCCTCCCGATCTCTCTCTCTTCCTTCCACTCTCTCCTCCTCCTCCCTCCCCATCCATATCTCTCTCTCCTCCCTATCTCTCCCTCCCCTCTCTTTCTCTCTGTCTAGACTGTGGCAGGCGTAGTCTGACAGAGGACCGTATAGTGGGTGGTGTGGATGCTAGGCAGGGTAGCTGGCCGTGGCAGGTCAGTCTGCAATATGACGGGGTGCACCAGTGTGGAGGCTCCATCATCTCAGACCGCTGGATCGTCAGCGCAGCCCACTGCTTCCCAGAGTACGCCCTGAATCTTTCTCTCCATCTCTCTCTCCATCTCTCTCTCTCTCTCTCTCTCTCTCTCTCTCTCTCTCTCTCTCTCTCTCTCTCTCTCTCTCTCTCTCTCTCTCTCTCTCACACACACACACTTCTTCTCATTGATTCTGTTTGTCCTCTCTCAGGAGGAACCGTCAGGTGTCTCGATGGAGGGTGTTACTGGGCTCCATCTACAACAAGCTCACCCATAAGAATGTTAGGGTTCTTGAGGTAAAGACTGTGGTGTACCACAGCAGCTACCTGCCCTTCGTAGACCCCAACATAGACGACAACAGCAGAGACATCGCTGTTCTGGCTCTGGCCCAGCCTCTTCACTTCACAGGTAAACATTGGGGGCCCATATTGTTATAGCTTATTATACTGTGATGATTTGTTGGTCTTTTTCAAGGTACATCAGATGAAGCCACAGTGTGCTTATAGGTAGAAGAGGGAGAGAAAGAGAGAGAGGGGGGGGGGGAGAGACAGAGAGAGAGAGAGAGGGGGGGGGGGGGAGGGGGGGGGGTAGAGAGAAGTGATAAAGCGAGATAGAGAATGAGGGACGAGTCACTATGGTAATTCCCTTCCTCAGGGTTCAGGTTTCCAGTCAGACTTCCAAACAAAGGCCCTCTTTACTGCCTGCCTGCAGTCGCCTGGACAAAAGACAATGATATCAGAACCGGACAGAATAGTTTGGCCTCTGTTTCACTGTAATTTTTCCTTTCCTGGAATCTCTGGACGTTCATAGAAAAACATTACATTGTTATAATGTGAGAGAGAAAACTCTCTACGACAGCGTTTTGGATTTTGCCTTAACACTACACGGCTGATTCAAATTATCAAAGCTTGATGATTAGTTGATTATTTGAATCAGCTGTGTAGTGCTAGGGCAAAAAACAAAATGTGCACCCCCGAGTTTGGGAAACCCTGCTCTAGGATGTAGTTGTTATGCAGGCACTACAGTGAACTTCCTGTTGTTTATCAAGGCCAGATGTATTGGGCCTTGTCTGACATCTAGTGGTTGGACAGAGTTGCAACTATTCACATGATAAAATAACACACTGGTGTGGAAATTGAGAACATGCAACATTAGCCGGACAAGATTAACATTGTCCGTAGTGAATACAACACACAAGCCATCAAGTAATCTCAATTTCTCTGCAAGTATACAATTAATTACAATCTCATCTCATCTCTCTCTCCCTCCTCTTCACCCTCTGTTTTCTGTAGACTACATCCAGCCAGTGTGCTTACCCCACTATGGCCAGCGCCTGATTGACGGCCAGATGGGGACAGTGACAGGCTGGGGAAATGTAGGTTACTATGGTGAGTGACTGTGTAACCTTCTACATCCTTAAACTTACATCTGGTCCCAAAGCCAGATACTGTAGGAGCTGGCCTTAAAACATCACCTGGTCCCAGAGACTGATACTGTAGGAGCTGGCCTTAAAACATAATCGAGTCCCAGAAACAGATACTGTAGGAGCTGGGTTTAAAACATAATCTGGTCCCAGAAACAGATACTGTTGGAGCTGGCCTTAAAACATAATCGGGTCCCAGAAACAGATACTTTAGGAGCTGGGTTTAAAACATAATCTGGTCCCAGAGACAGATACTGTAGGAGATGGGTTTAAAACACAATCTGGTCCCAGAGACAGATACTGTAGGAGCTGGGCTTAAAATATAATCTGGTCCCAGAGACAGACACTGTAGGAGCTGGCCTTAAAACATAATCGGGTCCCAGAAACAGATACTTTAGGAGCTGGGTTTAAAACATAATCTGGTCCCAGAGACAGATACTGTAGGAGATGGGTTTAAAACACAATCTGGTCCCAGAGACAGATACTGTAGGAGCTGGGCTTAAAATATAATCTGGTCCCAGAGACAGACACTGTAGGAGCTGGCCTTAAAACATAACCTGGTCCCAGAGACAGATACTGTAGGAGCTGGGTTTAAAACATAATCTGGTCCCAGATACAGATACTGTAGGAGCTGGGTTTAAAACATAATCTGGTCCCAGAAACAGATACTGTTGGAGCTGGCCTTAAAACATAATCGGGTCCCAGAAACAGATACTTTAGGAGCTGGGTTTAAAACATAATCTGGTCCCAGAGACAGATACTGTAGGAGATGGGTTTAAAACACAATCTGGTCCCAGAGACAGATACTGTTGGAGCTGGGCTTAAAATATAATCTGGTCCCAGAGACAGACACTGTAGGAGCTGGCCTTAAAACATAACCTGGTCCCAGAGACAGATACTGTAGGAGCTGGGTTTAAAACATAATCTGGTCCCAGATACAGATACTGTAGGAGCTGGGTTTAAAACATAATCTGGTCCCAGAAACAGATACTGTTGGAGCTGGCCTTAAAACATAATCGGGTCCCAGAAACAGATACTTTAGGAGCTGGGTTTAAAACATAATCTGGTCCCAGAGACAGATACTGTAGGAGATGGGTTTAAAACACAATCTGGTCCCAGAGACAGATACTGTTGGAGCTGGGCTTAAAATATAATCTGGTCCCAGAGACAGACACTGTAGGAGCTGGGTTTAAAACATAATCTGGTCCCAGATACAGATACTGTAGGAGCTGGGTTTAAAACATAATCTGGTCCCTCAGACAGATACTGTAGGAGCTGGGTTTAAAACATAATCTGGTCCTAGAGACAGATACTGTAGGAGCTGGGTTTAAAACATAATCGGGACCCAGAGCCAAATACTGTAGGAGCTGGGTTTAAAACACAATCTGGTCCAGAGACAGATACTGTAGGAGCTGGGCTTAAAACATAATCTGGTCCCAGAGACAGATACTGTAGGAGCTGGGTTTAAAACATAATCTGGTCCCAGAGACAGATACTGTAGGAGATGGGTTTAAAACACAATCTGGTCCCAGAGACAGATACTGTAGGAGCTGGGCTTAAAATATAATCTGGTCCCAGAGACAGACACTGTAGGAGCTGGCCTTAAAACATAACCTGGTCCCAGAGACAGATACTGTAGGAGCTAGGTTTAAAACATAATCTGGTCCCAGATACAGATACTGTAGGAGCTGGGTTTAAAACATAATCTGGTCCCAGAGACAGATACTGTAGGAGCTGGGTTTAAAATATAATCGGGTCCCAGAAACAGATACTTTAGGAGCTGGGTTTAAAACATAATCTGGTCCCAGAGACAGATAATGTTGGAGCTGGCCTTAAAACATAATCTGGTCCCAGAGACAGATACTGTAGGAGCTGGGTTTAAAACATAATCTGGTCCCAGAGACAGATACTGTTGGAGCTGGCCTTAAAACATAATCGGGTCCCAGAGACAGATACTGTAGGAGCTGGGCTTAAAATATAATCTGGTCCCAGAGACAGACACTGTAGGAGCTGGCCTTAAAACATAACCTGGTCCCAGAGACAGATACTGTAGGAGCTGGGTTTAAAACATAATCTGGTCCCAGATACAGATACTGTAGGAGCTGGGTTTAAAACATAATCTGGTCCCAGATACAGATACTGTAGGAGCTGGGTTTAAAACATAATCTGGTCCCTCAGACAGATACTGTAGGAGCTGGGTTTAAAACATAATCGGGACCTAGAGCCAGATACTGTAGGAGCTGGGTTTAAAACACAATCTGGTCCCAGAGACAGATACTGTAGGAGCTGGGTTTAAAACATAATCTGGTCCCAGAGACAGACACTGTAGGAGCTGGCCTTAAAACATAACCTGGTCCCAGAGACAGATACTGTAGGAGCTGGGTTTAAAACATAATCTGGTCCCAGATACAGATACTGTAGGAGCTGGGTTTAAAACATAATCTGGTCCCAGAGACAGATACTGTAGGAGCTGGGCTTAAAATATAATCTGGTCCCAGAGACAGATACTGTAGGAGCTGGGTTTAAAATATAATCTGGTCCCAGAGACAGACACTGTAGGAGCTGGCCTTAAAACATAACCTGGTCCCAGAGACAGATACTGTAGGAGCTGGGTTTAAAACATAATCTGGTCCCAGATACAGATACTGTAGGAGCTGGGTTTAAAACATAATCGGGACCCAGAGCCAGATACTGTAGGAGCTGGGTTTAAAACATAATCTGGAACCTTAGACAGATACTGTTGGAGCTGGGTTTAAAACATAACCTGGTCCCAGAGACAGATACTGTAGGAGCTGGGTTTAAAACATAATCTGGTCCCAGATACAGATACTGTAGGAGCTGGGTTTAAAACATAATCTGGTCCCAGAGACAGATACTGTAGGAGCTGGCCTTAAAATATAATCTGGTCCCAGAGACAGACACTGTAGGAGCTGGCCTTAAAACATAACCTGGTCCCAGAGACAGATACTGTAGGAGCTGGTTTAAAACATAATCTGGTCCCAGAGACAGATACTGTAGGAGCTGGGTTTAAAACATAATCTGGTCCCAGATACAGATACTGTAGGAGCTGGGTTTAAAAACTATAATCTGGCCCCAGACAGATACTGTAACTGTCCCAGAAGACGTAGGACTGGTTAAACTAATGGACCAAGCCAGATATGTATGAGCGGGTTAAAACACATCTGGTCCCAGGACAGATCTGTAGGAGCGGGTTAAAAATCTGGCCCAGAACAGATACGTAGGAGCTGAGTTTAAACCTTAAAAACTTGGGTGGCTTTAAAAAACTCCAGAACAGACACTACTGCCCCTCCAGAGACTTGAAGGGGGGTTTAAAAATAATCTCAAAACATACCTGGTTAATAATTGGTCCCAGAGACAGACACGGGGAAAATTACTGGTCCGAGGACGCTTGGGCTGGTAAACATAAACTGTAAGGGATCGA